AGATTGATGTCACATGGAAGCAAGCTGCTATGTGAACTCAAAGTCATAGGGTATCAATCATAGTTCAAATATTTGTGCTGGTCAAAACTCTTAATAAAAATTTGTTTTGCAAAGGGTATTAAAACAGACACTGTTTGTGTAAGAGGTTGGTTTCAAAGCATATTTTCAAAACCATACAATATTTCTTAACCAAAGTTGGCAGATAGATAGGTCTGGTGACAAAGTTGTGCCTTTTGATAGTGTGGCATGTTACTGTTAGAAAAATATATTTCTTGAATTTCTCTGCCAACGACATATTGATATAGGGCTTGAAACTGCAGTAGTGTTTGTTAGCTCTAAATCTGTGCTTCATTGATTTTTCTAAATATGAGATTTTTGTTTATTTTGAGTTTATATGGTATACCAGGGATAGAAATGCAATTTTTTCAAAAGTCTGCCATAGGGCACCAGACACATAATCTTTATGTGCCTTTGCCTATACCTATGATGTTCCAATTAACCTTATAACATTACATCAATTATGTCATTTTAGTTAGTTGTTCAGTTTTATTTGGTGTGAAAATAGGTTTTGAATCGTTCCAGTTGGTCAGACTTTTCGCATGTTCCATTAGATAAATCATGATGTGTAATTTCATAATTTGAGTTGTGTCATGAGGGCACATTGGAAATATTTCATCAGTGCCATTTCAATATTTACCACACCATGACGTACAAATTAAGCACTTTTTCGATCCCTGTTCAGCAAAGATTTTCCTTAAGTCTCGGATGAAAATGAAGATCAGCCACCATGCATGATTCTATGCTGATTGATATTCCACATTGCTTTCCGATTCTTATCATGAATTAGCAGTTTTGATATCTCCTACTGTAAACCTTGCGTACAATGTGTGTAGCCCATTTCTTGTGTCCCATGCTGTGATATTGTTGGGATATTGATAAAAGCGGCGTAAAACCCAACTCACTCACTCAATTCTACTGTAAACATCAAGCAATCCATACAAGTATAACATTCCTTGCAGTTGTGTAAAAAATTAGCACCAACTGAAAAGAGTTAAATGTCGAAACACAGATTACATTTCCTTGTGGTTACCTTTATTATCGTGGTTATAGCCAAATTTCAGGGAGTCCAGTTTCTGTTATTATTGATATTAATATCTCCAAGGTATATATTACTGCTAATGTCACCTGTGAAGATCCGGGTTAGAATTGATCTTCAGTAACTCATGTTTGTCTTAAGAGGCGACTAACGGGATCAGGTGGTCAGGCTCACTGACTTGGTTGACACATGTCATTGGTACCCAATTGCGTATATCGATATCCGTTGATTGCTGGATTGTCTGGTCCAGACTCGATTATTTACAGGCCGCTGCCATATAGCTGGAATATTGCTGAATGCAGCGTAAAACAAAACTCACTCACTTGCTACTGCTTATGCCTGCTCTGACCTCTGAAATAGATCTTTCCTTACTTTCAAATTCTTTCAATCACAGAAACATTGGGCCCTCAACACAAATACACAAGGCTCCCCTTTTGGGTTGTTCCAAATGACATTTGGGTTTCACAGGAACTATATTGCACAAAACCATTTACGAAAGTCCATCATCCCATACTATCATCAGAACATTGAGCTTGATAATCATATTTAAGATGAGTCAATTCTTACTGCCTTTAGCAAGTTGAGCAGGTCCATGAAATGTTACCATCAGCAGAATGATGAAGAACCAAAGTGTCAGTAATGGATTTGTATGTAGTGTTCTTGTAAACACCATTAGACTGTACCCACTGTAGTCATTGCTGGGCAACTGTGTACTGAGAAAATTACATGAATCATATATAGCTTCCACTTACAGCCTGGTCCTATTCAGCATTCAGCAATTATATGTGACCTTTCTGATGTTTGATTTAATGAATAGCTATAATCATTCTATTGAGCAACACAGTTCTGGCTGACACGTTCAGGCATTTGTCTGCTTGAAGAAGACTATGTGGCATCAAATTATTGTGATATCCCATTTGTGAATTGGAAATATTGAAACAACAATGGGACAGTTTCTTGGTATGTTGTAGTATTCTTCTTGATCAGGCTACTGTGTGTTTGGCTTTATGTTCCAGATATTTTTATATGTCATGTTAAGTCACGTTTTATGGTGGTGCTGGTAGCATGAACTGACATTTCATGGGATTTCTTTGTAATGTTTTGCTTTGTTTGTAGTGCTTGTTATGTCACATCCTCCTTTAGTTTATAACACTTCCTACACACTTATCTTTTTATATTTTATGTTTTTTGCTTTGTTGTTCACATATTTTAGGTTCATTTGTACTGGCATGTACTTGTTAGCATATTGTTCGCTAAGTAATGGCATTATCTTAATTATCCTCTTACTTCATAGTCATTTTGCAAAGTGTGTTTCCTTCTGATTATCATGTGCATGTTTGTGTCTGAATTTAACCACAAACATGGGCTCATGACATATACTTCATATTAATCATCACACTTCATACCAGTGGTGAAACCATATACTGTTTCATCATGTGTTTTCATGTAACAACATGATACACGATTCATCTTTTTTCTGTATATGAGACAATTCACTTGCTAAACTACTTACTGCTATTTTGACAATCCCTGTACTACATTTTGTCAGTCAGATATCGCCTAATGAATTGTAATCAGCGTTTGAAGTTTACAATAGAAATAGCTGTGATGAACTTTCATCTGTAGCTAGCTTTTTCAGTTGAACTTGCTCTGAACGCCAAGAAGTATTTCCATGTGATTTGATGTGAATCTGTGTCGCCATACACTTGGTAATGTGACCTATGTATTGTGATACCTTGGCATATCATTTCACCCCTAATTCATGTACTTCCTGAATACCCATGACTTTTCAAAATCATTTTGATAAAAAGGATATATATCATCATAGGAGCAGTGGGGTAGCCTTGTGGATAAAGCTTTCACTCGTCATGCTTAAGATCTGGGTTCGATTCCCCTACATGGGTACAATGTGTGAAGCATATTTCTTGTGTCCCCTGCCTTGTTAATGGTATTGCTGCAATATTGTTAAAAGCGGTGTAAAACTAAACTCACCAACTCACTCATTTGGCATCATGATCTTAAGCCTCATAATCCCAAGCATAAATGTATGTGTTATTAGAGTCAGATATTTCAAATTCAGAAGGAAAAAGGATCCTAAGTGATGACTATTCATTACGAAATTAACAGTTCTTCATTCAGTTAATTCAGACACCACTTTATGTGTGTGCAAACTAAATTTTTATCATATATCTATCAATCTAGCTAGTGAGCCTAATCATGATAATTACAAAGATGGATATCACATATATACACAAGGCATTAATTACATAGCCTGGACATATGACCTGGAAATAGACAACATGCAGTGAACAAAGCTTTCTCAGATTTCAAACACTGACAGGGAATTGGTTAGGGAAGTACGGGCATAAATGGTCCAGTCCCCCCAGGCACTGAATTTCACTGTTAGAGTTTCATACCTTAGGTTTTGCTAATCCCAGTTTGCCTGATTATGTTTGTAGACGTACATCACTTGAGGCTTTCCTCCTACATTAAGCTGAAACAGCATGATAAATGCTGTTAAATGCAGTGTTAAACCCAACCCACTGACACAGGATAGGCAGGTCAGGCTCAACGACTAGACTGATGTAACCCTAACACGTTGGTGTGAGAAATTGCTCATTGCATCAGTAATCTGCATAGTAGTCTGTCATACAGACCCTGAAACAAATTCATCCAAGAAAGAGCATGCAAGTCTAGAATCGTGGCAAGAAGAAAGCCTCTGAGTTCCTTTTCATTATATTATATTATTATGATTTAGGAACTGATTTTGTCTGTAAAATATGTTCATTTCAGAAACTAGTTGTTAGTCTGTTTGCCTAGATTAGACACACATTAATTTTGGGCTTCTGTAATATAGGTAGAATATTGCTGATTTAGGCCGAACAGAGTACACAGTATGTTTTTGCTTCTTAACAAGTTATCTGATCTATTTATGTACATATATATCCATTCGCCCAAACAGCAAACTATGCTTTCTCTGAACCTACGAATATGAAATGTGCCTGATAAGTTTATGTCGGAGAAAATGCTAAGAATAACAAGTATAAATAAGTTTTGAACATTCAGATAAAACATATACTGTATGAATATACTCTTTTGAATATGATACACTGTTGACTTGTACTTTCATAGGTTATATTGTACACGTTTTGTCTATTTGGGGTGATAAAGCCATGGAAATGAATGTGTAAATTTGTTCACAGCGATAACTGTCATGAAATAATGACATGCAGACATATTTAAAGTAAGTCAAATATTGATGCTTGGTATTGAAGCCTATTTCTGAAAGCGCTGTGCTAGCATCTCTGTTCTCGGTCACAATTAACATCAGTACGGGTAATGGATTACTGTGATTATACTTGTCATAAGCTCATTTGTTAAAAGTGAATTAATTAATCAATATGAACTAGCCCGAAACTTGGTAAACAGGAGCTGATTGTAATGAGAGAATGCCATTAGAGTATGGAAACCACTCAGTGTCCCATATTCTGATCATTGTTCTCATCAATAAGCAGTATAAACCACTATTTGCAGTCATTTGCAGGTTTGTTTTTACTATTTAATCTATAATCTCAACATGGTTTATTGATCATTGAGAGCTGATTTGCATACTATTATCTTGCATTGGAATTGTTTATCTCATTCCTACTTCTGCGTTTCATAGTAATAACTTTATATATTTCAGATAGTGTTTGTTTATTATCACATGGCTAGCCTGTATTGCCAGTGTTGACCTGACACTGGTCATGGGTATGTCAAACTAAATTAATCATGTCATCAGGTCATATTGGAAAACACATGGAACTTGTTTTAGATTTCATCTCAGTGAGGAGAGGCATGTTGTATATCAGCCCCAACAGTAAGTATCCTTTTGACAAACATGACATATTTATTTTTCTTGCAGGTATGGGTCAAACGTTATCAGAACCAGTGACTACCAAAGAGACATCTAAATGTGAAAACAGTTACGCCAAAGTCGCCTCATCATGCATGCAAGGATGGCGAATAAGTATCCTTTATAATGCACAGATTATTATTGGCCACAGGTTGGATCCTGAGCTATTGTTCGCTTATCAATACAGTTATATAGTGCAATTAATAACAATGACCAGGAGGCACAATCTCAAAACTATTTGCACCTATTGATTTTGTTAATAAGGCCTCACGGAGGTAAAGGACTTCATCGAGAATGTTTATAGTTTAGTTATTATTTTGTTAGGACACCATCTTAGAATATTCAGTTTTGTTAATATTTTGTAATATTTAATAGTTTGTTATGTTTCCATGTTTCCTTAACTGTTAGAATTTACATTACGATTTTCATAGAAAATACACTGATCACTTGACGATTCAAAGTCAGAGCTGCAGATGACTTGTATTCTTGATGAATAAAATGGTTGTGTTGGAAATCAGAGAAAAGGGTTATTGGTTGTGTTTCTGGGACAAATAACCCAGACCCACCAGAATGACATTAATTTCACTAACAGTAAACCAATAAAATATATGCACATCATGCACTTGATGAAGATAATGTTGCCTTTAACATCTGTACATACTTTTGAAGTTGGCTCTGTTTATTTTGTCGTAGGGCTGAGACTAGAAGACTTACTCTTGACTCATTTTTTTTGGGTGGGGGTGGGTTGTGTTTGTTGTCATTTGCACACACCCCTTTGTCCAGAAATTTTATTAAATGACCCATGATAACGGGTGAAAATGAAATGTGCACCTCCCCGTTCTCAAGAGTGTGCACCCCACCCCCCCCCCCCCCCCCTTCTCAAAAAGCTGTATCCACCCTGTTAGTCCATACGAGTTCATCCTAATGCAGTTAGCCATGGTTGTGATTTGAAGCTGATGTCTAGTCAGATATAATGTAACCCACAATCTAGATAATACTGACACAGAAACCACAACTCGTGAAAAGTAACTGAATGAAAATTGTTTTTGAGTTGCTTGTGGTCTACAACCGATATCCTGCCAGCTGGTGAAGTACTCATGCTTGGGCTAGACAAATCAGTGATCAATAGTTGTAGATGAGTCGCATGTCGGGAAACAATGAGACACAGTAATGCAGATCACAGCTGAGAGGCAGTCCATGTAACCACTGATGGAATCCAGTTCATACTCATCTACCATTGACCCTATGGGGCTTCTTGATTCAAATTGGTCGCCAGCTGTCTATGCAGGTCATACAAGGCCACTTAATGGATGATGGTCAAACTTGTTGACGAAGATAAAAGCTTCCAATCGAATCTGTCATTGCTCGTAATATGAATCACTGAATCATGTGGTCCAGATTTGATTATATGTACTGTCATTATAGAAGAAATATTGCTCTGATGTCAAATCACTAGTCTGAAACAAATCTTACGACTGTAGCCATATTAATGAGAACAAACTACAATGGGATACGTAGCCACCTGACTGGAGTGGGCCATTGTCATCAGCTTGATTTGTTGTTCATGCTGTTAACCTCTGGTTTGATTCATTACTTTTCTCTATGTGATAAAGCTGTAATATTGCAGACTGGGCAAGTTAACATTCACTCACCAATTGTTGCATGTGTAACAATATTATGACATATTAAAGTTACTATGTTCAACATTTTTGTGATGGGCCATGAAGAGATACCAAGATATATGATGTAATTGAATTGAAACATATATGCTAACAAGAATGATGATAAATGATTTTGGCAGAAAATGTGTAATGTGGTGAGATCTGTGTTAAATGTTATGGACTTTAACTGTGTAAGACATGGAAGATGCCCACACCCATCTCTTGTCACTGCCAGGAGACAAAGATTCCTGCTTCTTTGGGGTGTTCGATGGACATGGAGGTAAGATCTGAGTTCATGAAGCACTAGATGATGTTGTAACTTGTACCAGTACAGAGCCCCTGTGTCCCAACATGTTCCTTATCTCTAGTATTTTAATAAGTTTTTCTTATCCTGACTCATGATCTTTTGCTTATCTCCCTTTCCTATGCGAATGGTAGTGGAACACTTGAATCCTTTGAAGTTCCCGAAGCGGATGTAAAAATACACTCACCCACGAGTTACCTCCCTTTTCCCGCGTAAACAGTCATGTGACCAGCTGATTGAAAAGGCAATTGAGGTTTGATTCTCTGTCATTCATCATTAACGTCTTCTTAGAAACTATCTAACTTAAAACTGACATACCTTCTCCCACCAGTGATGACACCCTAACTGGTTTTGGAGGCTTGGATCTGTATTGCCATGTCAGCCTCTTAGTCAGCCATTTTTATTAAAAGTGGCATTGCCATCTGTGTGCTATAATGAATGTGAAAGTCCAAATATACAGACTCACACTTAGTAAATATTGCACTGAGTTTTAATGCAATTATGTTTTTTTTAAATGTCTTGCAAACAATTCTTGTTAATCTATATGTATGACATCACTGATGTGTACCTTGGCTTCCTATCTCAAATAGAACTACTTCATTAAAAAGTTTTGTTTTCAAAACTGATATTGCAACGTTAATGTTTAAACATATATCATATATTCACAATCCAAACCTAGATAGAGATATGCATCCCATACTCAACACACACATGTAGAGTCATAAATCACCTCGATCGTTTCAGTCAGTTCTGTAATGTACAATTTGATATATGAAGCCAGTGGCAGTTGGTAGTATAAATCAAGATATTTTTACTTGAAATTAATAACTGGTTGTATTGCCTGGGACATTTTTATGCTTTTAATGTTTTTATTTATATTTTATGATTTTATTAAAATATTACTGCATTTACCATGGTGATGTTTTTGAGGGGGCGACACAGTGATATATACTTTAAAGCTTATATCTGTGAAAATGTTTCCATTCAAACAAACCACACTGAATATTTTTATGCTATTGGTAAACAAAAGTTGTTCTGTTTTGACCATGTTGACAAAAGATATTGTTGGCAAACTTGTTCAGCTTTTACAGTATTGACATATGATTCTATGTCAAAGGTGGGACAATTTTTATTCCATGTTTAGATCTATGTCAGCCTTTCCATTCAATTTGACCTCATTGAATGTTTATGCTTGTAGGAGTGAAAGTGGCTCAGTATGCAGGCTTAAACCTTCACAAGAAGATTGTAGCACAATCAACATATGGTGAGTTCAGTATCCTCACAGACACTATGGGTCTGCTTTAATGAGGGTGTATTTTGTATGTCTGGCTATTCTTTAGTGAAAATTTACTTAAAAATGAAATGGCTAACAAAAATAAAATTATCAAATACCAAAGAGTTGTTCTATACTGGCCACATAAAGAAACTGTGCACACAGAAAATATAAAGATAGGCAGACAGCGTCTTTATACATAAATAAAGGTGTGAACATAGCAAGTATTGGAGACAATCAAACGCTCATGCAGGTGCCAGACGACGTGACGTCATTGATGGTGGGCTATGGACTTGCAATGTGTTACTGCACGTGCAGCCTGTGCAGCTGCACACAACATGTGAAACTCAGAAATTGCTGTCACTGTTGAAAGCTTGATCTTTGGTCATTCAAACGTTCACAAATTCACATGAGAAGTCACATGCACATCATGCCAAGATTAACATCTGCTCAACGTCATGAAGCCATTTGAATGGTTCGAGCAGGCATGAGCCAACAACAGGTGGCAGCACATTTCCAATGCCATCGTAGCACGATATCTGCATCGGTCAGGCTTATGGAAACAGTAATGGTGTCGCCGACCACCCACTTTCTGGGTGTCCCCGAGTAACGACGCCAAGACAGGACAGATGGATTCGAGTGACTCATCTCAGACACAGGTTCCAGACGGCAGTGACCACGTCCCAAACCATTCCCCAGGCCTTCAATGCTCATTTAGTAGCCTCTATGCGTCGTCGATGCACTGCTGTGCTTCACGCACATGATGGTCATACCCGTTATTGACCTAGTGACTTCGACGTGTGACCCCTTTCTCAATTTTGAACTTCTGACGTCATTGTTACGGATATTATTCATGTTCTTTTGACATGTTGTTGTGGCCCGATACTTAAGCTTATAAAGTGTCTACATCATTTCGTCTTTTCTGTGTTGTATTCCAATTTTGAAGGAATTTTCTGTGTGCACAGTTTCTTTATGTGGCTAATATATTACTTAAAACATTTACGGCACCAAACAAGTTGACTATATACCTGTCACTCTTCAAATGAGAATCATGCTGTTGATCACTGGATTGTCTGGTCCAGACTCGATTATTTACAGACCGCCGCCATATAGCTGAAATATTGCTGAGTGCGGTGTAAAACTAAACTCACTCACTCACTTCAAATGAGAAGTTTTATTTTTTAAATATTGCCTCCCAGAAGACACTGAATGCTACATTGCAGCAAGGGTAACACAAAGGATTGTATTCACTTTTACACACTAAAGGGCCAGACCAATTTTATTTCTTGTTTTACGGATTATTGTCCTCAGAAAACCTAAAGGCAGGAGCGGAATTATTTTTTTAGAATTAGATGAGTTTCCATGTTAACTCTTTTGGTTTGTTTATATCAACTAAAAATGAGTTGAGTGAGTTTAGGTTTCACACTGATTTCAAGAGTATTTCACATTAGCATTAGGATTTTATTTTTGTGAGTGGTGAAAATTAATTTGTATGTTGTTGTTTTTTGTATTCTTGAAAACATACGACCGGCGGATCCATAAAACAAGAAATATAATTTGTCTGGCCTAAGATAAAACTAAAACTAAAATGAAAAATCCCTACCTTCTTAACCTAATTTTGAGATTGCTGTTAACAGAACCACAGCTTCTATTTTTTGGCCTTGGTGTGTGGAAAATAGGATTTGCATGTAGTCAGTGTCACTTGCTCTCAAACATGTAAGCTCCCAATATGTCACAGTACATATCACAATACAGATACCTGCATCACAATAAACAGCAATACAATTTCTTTGTTGATTCACAGCCCTACTGGATTTTCTTTCCATAGGTTGATTATATACCATGATCTACAGTGGATTATAAATATGTTCGTAACATTTCCTAGTGTATCATGTTGGAATAATCATGCCTTATGAACAGAAAATATTTGAATAGACAGTTCTTAGAAACATACAGGTTCCAGGAAACAGAATATGTGCAAAAGTTGGCCTGAAATTTCTGTAATAACTGAAAAGTTACAGATAATGGCAGTGAGAATTGTGTGAATATTCGTTAATTCTGAACCTAAAATCCCTGTTCATAAATGGACTTGTCAGACATTACTAAGATTAGATTGCATTCACTGAGTCATGACTATTTAATAAAAGTAAATGCAATAAAACACTTCATGTAGAATAAACCACTCGTAACTGCACCCCTTGTGGTTTATTCTCCCTGCAGTGTTTGTTTTGTACAATAAATGTGCTCCCTGCAGTTTTAAAGTCTGATATCACAAGTTTTTTATTTCTTAAATGAAAGATACTCCAAATTAAAATAGTGAGAATCATACACTAAAGTTGTAAATAACCTGAAACATATAATCAATATGAATAATTTATGTAATTTCTGTTTATTTAGTTGTTATAGTGTTGCTGTGATGTGTTAATGCTCCAGTGAATGAACATTGTCATATGTGGAGCCAGTATTGTCTTTCAGTTAATAAAATAGTTAGAAGTGCCTGTTCACAGAATATTGGAAGTTTCTCACCCTCTCTTAGGCATTATGCGGATAGGTGTTTTGAAACTTGTGAAATGTATGTTTCGTGTACAGGTCCTAAACACTTTGTCTTCAGTTTTTATACCCCACCACAAAGTTGGAGGGGGGTATATGTTTGAGCTCTGTCCGTCCCAGATGATGGGGACAGATTTTCTAAAAAAAACGTTATAGGTTGGGAAACCAAATATGGTATGTGTTTTCAGGACCAGAATGCTTTGAGGTCAGAGTGAGTATGGTTTTATGCCGCTTTTAGCAATATTCCAGCAATATCACGGTGGGGGACACCAGAAATGGGCTTCACACATTGTACCCATGTGGGGAATCGAACCCGGGTCTTTGGCGTCCGTGGGGACAGATTTTCTCAGAAACTGTTATAAATAGGGAAACAGGGTTCGATTCCCCACATGGGTACATTGTGTGAAGCCCATTTCTGGTGTCACCCACCGTGATATTGCTGGAATATTGCTAAAAGCGGCGTAAAACCATACTCACTCACTCACTCGACCTCAAAGCATTCTGGTCCTGAAAACACATACCATATGGGCTTCACACATTGTACCCATGTGGGGAATCGAACCCGGGTCTTTGGCATCTGTGGGGACAGATTTTCTCAGAAACTGTTATAAATAGGGAAACAGGGTTCGATTCCCCACATGGGTACATTGTGTGAAGCCCATTTCTGGTGTCCCCCACCGTGATATTGCTGGAATATTGTTAGAGCGGCATAAAAGTAAAGTCTCTCACTCACTCAGTGTCAAACTGATGTACTTTTGTACCTAACAATCCGTCCTTCATAACATGCACACTGGAAGTTGCTGTAACTGTATGCTGGACTGACGTAAATGATGTTTTGTTGTGAGATTTACAACTTTTTGCAGTGTGTAATGAGAATGATTTGTGTTAAAGTCAGATGTTCTACTCTGATTCACAATCGTTCTGCTGTAAGATATGAGGATACCTCCATAGATGGTCGGATCGGGTCAACTTCTGATAAGCCAGTCAGTGTTTGGGGTTCTTGGTGTGAGAGAATTATTCAGTCACTCTTGTCTGATTTGTCTCTCAAAGAGGAATGTGTAGTTGAGGTTTTCCTAATGCAAAAATGGAAAGCTGCACAAGTATTATGATTATATACACAAAAAACTTAATTAAGCACCCCCTGTATTTTAGCAATGATAGGTTTTCAACACATACATAAAACTTCTCGTGGTGACCATGATTGAAAACATGAGATTTTCTGAACTGTATGATCCTTTGACTATAAGAAATGACCAAATGGTTGGAATCCATGTTGATTTTATGATGATAATTCCACATTAATAAACCCACTGATTTTCATACAAAACCATGTCTGTACAAGTATGGCCCTGGAATGTTTAATGTTGAATTTATTGCTGAATGTGAACATTCAAAATTTCATTTTGCGTGTCTTACACAATTCAAGGCCAATACCTCCATGTGACTGTATGACAGCCAGCACGCTCCTCTTCATACCACCTATCAGCCTTCTGATGGACTGAAGGGGCAGTCTACGCTATTCCTCGTGTAAAGCAGCTTCCAATTGGGCCAGGTTCTGTACAGGAGGATCCCTTTGTTGCACACGACAACCAATCATGTCCCAGGATATGCTCCAAAGGGTTAGGATCGGGGCTCATTCAATTGTGAGAAATGTCAGGGGGTGCTTAACTAAGTTCTTTGTGTATATGTTGTTGTATATAGCTTATCTTTCCTGTCATTCTGATGGATGTACTACTGAGTGTTTCTGTGTTCTGTGGTGGATTTGTAAAAATTATTTGCTCAGAGTCCAAATCAGATTTTTTAAAAGAAGCCAAATAGGTTCAGAAAGATGAATTTTGATTGACTGAAAACCCACATGTCCTCAAGACTGAAAGGTCAACGTTTGCCTAGGTTTACCTGAGGCAACCTTCCATGGAGGTATCTTTAGATCTTGATGCAGATGGGTATCATTTAGGAGTAAAATATCTGATTATGTTTAGAGTGAGATTTTCAAAAGTTAAATTTTGTTAAATTTTCAGCTCAGGGTAATTTAGCAGAAGCTTTGCGGTCAGGTTTCCTGTCACTAGATGAAGAAATGATGAAAGGTAACTTAAATTACTTTGTGCATGGACATTACTGTCATCCATGTGAAATATAATGTGAAGATGATGTGCTTATCATGCTCTGGACTTATATAGTATTGCTTACCATTGTTTGCCATGAAGTGGGAGGGGGATAAGGGAATAGTGCCTGTCCATCCATCCTAGCATCTTTTTTACTGGCAATCTTGTTTGGTTTCCAGAGCATAAATATTTTCTAATCAAACGTCTAACAGAAAGGGTATAGTTTGTTTCCAAAGAACTTTTCAGTCTTTCAGGATTCCAGGTAACCCTGAACTGGTGCCTTTTGCCATTTTATTTGTCCTTTTTCCATGACAACAAATTCCAAGCAATGGAGGGTTTATTTCCGTAAGTCATGAAACATTTGTACTTTCTCACTAAACAGTCAAATGGGAAATTGCTGATGTCTGTGTTTTTGTCTTTTATATTATTTCTCGGATTCCATTCCATCAAATGGAATTACTCATGAGATCAGTGATAGCCACTGTACCCAGTGATCTTCTCATAGTAACCCCACCCTACTGAGATGGTGAAAGGTACCCGACTGCTGACAGCATGTTAATAAACTGTTAGTCCAGTGTAAATCTTTAGAAAAAGTCATAGGTAGTCTTTTTCTATTGCAGATGAAACCATGAAAGATGAACTAGCTGGGACCACAGCTGTTGTAGCTTTGATAAAGAACAACAAAATCTATTGTGTAAGTCCAGTATTTATTTCTTTGTAAGATGTGTCATGTGACTGATTTTAGTAGTCACTGAATATCAGCTGCATATGTGTTTATGTAATACCTTTACAAGTTCATGTGGTTGACTTGATGATACAGGGGGCGGCTGGGTAGCCTAGTGGTTAAAGCATTCACTTGTCACGCTGAAGACCCGGGTTCGATTCCCCACATGGGTACAATGGTGAAGCCCATTTCTGGTGTCCCCCGCCATGATATTGCTGGAATATTGCTGAAAGCAGCGTAAAACCATACTCACTCACTTGATGATACAGCGACAGCATTTTCCTGACACTACCCAAAATGTAGAATGAATTGATTGAACATATTTCCAACACAGTTTGTTCATACTAGTATGAACTAGTTTTTCTGTTAATAGGTATTGATTAGCTCAACATGCTGACTGAAATACGTTTTTTTACTTCATTTCATACTAGAAGCAAACTTACAGAGTGTGACCATAAGGTCACAATAAATTATGGTAGTTATTAGATTTTTGTCCAAATTTAAAAGAATTTGTTTATTTCATATTTTATCACAATTTGCTCATGGCACAGTGTACATAAACTGCCAACAGATATGATTTACATGAAGCATGAACGAAGACTACATGTATGGTATAATTCATTATACATAGAAACAAGGCAAGACATGTTGGACACAGTGAATTAGTTTCAAGATTTCCATCTAAATTTAAGAAATTCTTTTGATATATGTATTAGATATTTTTATAGCTTTGAATACTTCTATAAGGTATTTGTATATGAAGTATTTGTATATGATGTGATATAGTATGACCAGAAATTATTGAGAATTTTAGGAATATGTTTAATTGGATTTCTAGTATAAACAACCTTGACCAGCTGTCAAGTGCTTGGTTTCATTCAAGAGACAACTCCGTTAATCCTTTTTCATTAGTTTGTGAAGAGTTATCCCCCTTTGTTTACTTGCTAGCAGACGACATTTTCAGTGATCCTCAGTATGGATGATTTAGAGAAGAGGAAGTTGATTTTAGAGTATTATAACAAGGACATCAGATCAGCTAAAGTGATTTCAAGTAGAACATGCATCCTTTTGTCCACTGTTTATCGTGTTTTGAAAAATATTGCAAATGGATATGGCATTGAGCACCAGGGAGGCGCAGGTAGGCCCAGAAAATTGACTGTCGGTGACAGGATGCGGCTTGGTATTCTTGTTTCTAAAAACAAACGAAGGAGTTTAGAAAACTTAATGCTGGATATGATTAATAGAGGAACTGTGGCTGTCTTTAAGGAGACAATTAGGACTGCACTGGTTTGGCAGAAAAGTCGAGGAATTCCATCACCGATCATGAAACCTGAACAAAAGGAGCGAAGGTTGAACTGGTGCTTACAGCATAGAAATTTTAACTGGGACAATGTGATTTTCTCAGATGAAAGTTCTGTGTGGCTGTTTCCTAATACACTGAAATTCTGGACCAAACAAACTGAAAAACCTTTGTATCAGCGCCCAAAGTACAGTCCGAAATTTAAAGTGTGGGGTGGCTTATCTGTGTTAGGGGCAACGACCCTCTGTGTATTTGAAGGGAATATGAACAGTGAGCGGTACACAGATATTCTCGAGGGACATTTACTTCCATCTGCTCACGTGTTCTATGGAAATGTTTGGATTTTCCAGCAGGACAACGACCCAAAACATCGTTCAAAGCATTCACAGGCCTGGTTTCGGACCCAAAATATGACATTATTAGATTGGCCAAGCTATATCCCTGACCTAATTCCAATAGAAAATGTTTGGGGACTTATGAAGGAAAGTGTCAATAAGAAAAATCTGACAAATATTGCTGAAATGAAAGAAGAGGTGGTCCGATATTGGGACAGCATGGACCACGACTTTCTAACTTCTTTGATCAGTAGTATGCCCCACCGCATTGAAGCCTGCATTGCTGCCCATGGTGACTTGACAAAATACTAACTGTTCACCTGTCTTTGAATCTGGAGTTATGTTCTGCTAATATTCACATTTAATACGTGAGTAATGAGTGAAAAAAATATAAAATTTACAATCTTTAAATTCTCAATAATTTCTGGTTGTACTGTAATAGATGTGATTCACTGCATGGATGTTTTATAATAGGCAAGAGATATTGGTATTTACTTCTGTACATGTGTAAAACAAAATGATGGAGCCACTGTTTGAAAGTGAGGTGGGCGGTGATGAAACTAATAATAAATTTGTTACGGACACAGGTTCCAAGTTAGTTCAAGGCATCATTAAGAGAGTTTGAATTGAGACCACACCCATTCTAGCTACTTTGGTTACAGTTACTGCCAATTATTTTTGGCTATTTATGGCAAATGGTGCAATTACTGGTATTCCTCACTGCTGAAGTTATTGTATTCACCCAAATTTATTACAAGTCATGTTAATTCAGCACATGTGATGCATGTGGTCTCACCTTAGGCAAGTGAGTTTGTTCAAATTGCCTCTGTTCACCCAGCAGAAAATGGGAACCTGGTTGGATAAAGTCATGTGACTATAACCTTCTAGCGTCTAACAGGCAGCTTGGGTTATCCAGGGTAATAAGAATCAGATTCTGATTAAGAGCCGCGAGAAATCACTTGGTGTTTGCAGACTGTGTGCTATAGAAGATGACTTTATTATTATCTAACAGTGATTAAGTGCATCTCAGATATCTCAGATTCTTTCAAAAAGGAACCTGTTATGGTTTAAACATAAACATGAATTTTTCTGCTTCCACATCTATTTAAGTGTCTGTGTATGAATTAAGTCATCTGTCACTTTATAGACTAAACTTATATTGACAAGTTGATCTTCTGAAATAGTTTTAGTGTTCTGTTTTGTCCCAGTTTGCATGTTGCTATCAATTACTGAACAAGATTATTTCTAATGACAATGTTAGAATTGCATTTCCAACTGCCATCTGAAATGTGTCTTGTTGCTCTTTTAAGTAAATGTAAAAGAAATAGAAAGCTGTGCAATGATTTTCTATGTTAAGATGATGATTGTAAGGGCATGTCAAAAGAAAATATTTGTATAGCTTAATTATTTTGACATTGACTATATCTTCAAAGTTGCATGGAATTCAGTTTCAGCATCTGTTAAGCTTTTAAATATGCTGAATCTTTGAATAATACGGGCAATTGTAGAATTTAACGTGAAGTCATTTAATCCTTATGTGAAGAAATTAAAATACTTTCATGTCTTGATATGACCTTTCAGAACTTCTGAAAGGTTTTCAGCTTTATTTAAAACTAAACAAGATTATTATGTGGTTGATATTATGTTATATTCAAATTTAGTTACAGTAATCTGGCTTATTGGAAGCTTGTTATTATCATATATTGTATTCCAACCCTCTCAGTGCTACATTATGCAGTAGCCAGTAACTTGGGTGGATATGAGCTATTCATATTAAACATGAGGGACTTAAATGCTTATAAAGTAATCTTTTCATGACTAGGGGTATGGGTGGTCCTGTCATCTGTCTACAAATCCTTGTACAGTTCTGCCTCCCTCTCATGTACTTGAGACCAATGGTTATGGATTTTGATCTCCGATAGCCCTGATTATGTCTATTTGGTTGTGAACTCCATATGTATTGTCCTTGGTTTAACCAAGTATTAAACATGTAAAACATGCATAATTTCAGGCATTCCTCCCACATCAAGGTGACATGCCATAATTAGGGATGTCACGATAAATAAGTTTCATGAATCGATATGTATCACGTTACCCATGTCACTATTCGATACATATCACATATCACCTATTTCAGTGGCATTATTGCGTAAATATAGTTACATTTTGAACATTAATATTTCATATCTTATAGTTGTCCATGAAAAGATCAACATTTTTGATTCTCAGAGATTAAAAAGTTCTAATTTCCCTTCTTTGTGCATGAAAAATAATCATTATATTTAAACCGATACTTTTAAAACTAAATGTATCTATAATTGTATCGTCTTAGAAAAAGTATCGATGTATCGTGGCATCCCAAGCCATAATCCTACTGAAATACTGTGAATACACAATTCCATTCAGAAACTGGTCGTTGAACATATGTTAGATTTGGGATTACACTTTCTCAGTAAAGTACTGATTCTAGTACTTTGATAAGGTTGAGTTTCATTCAAGATTTGAACCCACGCTCACAGAGTCAGCTATCTAATCGCCAGCATATGCCAGTTAGGTCTCTGACTTTGTGTGCTGGCTGGTGCTTAGGGCATGGGTGGCCCAGCCGTCAAGGGACCACATTTGTGCAATGCAAAGTTTGGCACACCATCGACCTATCTTCATGGGTTCATATCCCAGTTTGCCTCTATTACAATTTACTGTTAGGGTTTTAGTGGTAAATGTCTGAGACATGCATCCTTTCATGCTTTCTTCCCATATTTAATTCACATAGCTTGATATACCTGGAATAGAATTGATGTTGCAGAACATTTTGGCATGTTTACATGCCTTTGTGCAACATTCTGAAAATGATTCATTCCAGATCAGCATCTCAGGTATTCCTTCAGAAAAATAATTATCAAATAATGTATTGCAGATTGGCCATGTATTATTTACCTACCTACCTTTTCTGTCTTCATGTCGAAACAAATTCTAGGATTGATTTTCTTGTGTATAGTCTCCTGGGAGAGTGCAAACATATATGTACACTACACTCAAGATAATACTGTAGGTTGTGTCTGATGCTTTTATTTTAATATTCTTTTATAGCATATTATCACACTTTTGATTTTGAAGTTTTGATTTGTTGTCTGGTCAAATGATTGGAAATATATTTACCATGCTGACACTCACTACATTCAGGCCAATGTTGGAGATTCCCGAGCAGTTGCTAGTGTTGCTGGGGAGGTGGAACAGCTATCTTTTGACCACAAGCCAGGGAATGAACAAGAAACTCGCAGAATCATCGCAGCTGGTGGCTGGGTAGAGTTTAACAGAGTCAATGGTAAATAATTTGATGTTGACAGTGACTATATATATATGGATTTGAATAGTTCAGATTGTGCTACTTTTCTTCAACATTTCTTGACAATTAGAATTCAAATGATTCATAATGTAATATATTATCAGATTTGTTTTAAATTGTATTGAAATATTTCCATGCTTATTTGTACCACTGAAATCGAATATACGCCATAAAATTGATTAAACTGCAGCAGATGTTTGGCTAAGCGTTTGGCTTGGCTGGTTGTAATTTGCTATCACTTGATCAATAGTGAACCATTTACCCTGTTTTGGTCAAGGAGTAACCAATTGAATTTACACTGATGTCTTGATTTTTGTAAGATGCTGTAATTTTTTTCACTCTTCAGGGAATTTAGCTTTATCAAGAGCCGCTTGGGGATTTTGTATTTAAGAAGAATGACAAGAAACGAGCAGAAGAACAGATAGTCACAGGCAAGATTGTGTTATTTTTCACTCAAATACATTTATAGATTTGCATCTCATTCAGTGATGCCACCAAATTGGCCAACTACGAGGACGTCACACATAATTAAGCTGACACGCAATGATATAATTGAGAAACATCACTGTGATGGGTAAACCCAATTCACACAGTGTAAATTGTAACATTAGTTTTGATCTTTGAAATATTAAGTGACACACAGAAATCTCTTACTCCGACCCAAAAAAAATGTTTTAAGAAAACACAGTTTTGTTTCAGTTATTATCAACATATAAGTCACAAAATGTTGAGGGTTGGTGGGGTAGCCTAGTGGTTAAAGCATTCGGTCGTCACACCGAAGACCTGGGTTGGAATCCCTACATGGGTTCAATGAAGCCCATATCTGGTGTCCTGCACTGTGATGTTGCTGGAATATTGTTAAAAATGGCATAAACCATACTCATTCTCTCACAAAATGTTGAGTTGTGGTTCTTGTATATTTGAAATGTGAATTGCAGTTTGAACAGAAAATATGGTAATAAACAATTCAAGGGCAGTGTAATGTCATCATTACAGATATTCATACATATATATGTGTGACAGACTTCAAGCACAAGTTCATTGAGACTTCAGAATATTACATTTGGCCTTGAATGCAGATTTTTGTATCACATGTTCAAATATCATGCATGAAATTGAAAACAAATTTGGTTTAACTCCTTCTTACACCTAGCCCCACATGGGCACAATGTGTTAAGCCCATTTCTGGTGTCCCCCGCCGTGATATTGCTGGAATATTGCTAAAAGCGGCTTAAAACCAAACTCAGTCAGTCAGTCTTACACCTAGAGACATGACAATACTTCTGAGTAATTTGTCTTTTTCCATCATGACAATTAGTTGATAACCATCTAATCAACCAGGAAGAGAAATACAGTTCAGTTGCCAACCATATTTTTTACATGTTTTTCAGTTAATCAATAAATTGAAGCAGCTTCATGTGGGATGTTTGTTCGAATTTCAGCCAATCCCGATATCATAGAGAAGATGATTACCAAAGATCATGAATTTCTTGTATTGGCCTGTGATGGCATCTGGGATGTACTGACAAATCAGGAAGTTGTTGATTTCGTACGTGGGAGAATAGCACAGGGAATGGAGCCAGAAATTGTGAGTTGCAATTGTCCCTAAATAATATACTTGCATATTTCTATTAAAAACTACACAGTGTTTGCAGGATTGAAAATGACTTTAATTTGGCAGTTTGGCCTTAAAATCATTTGATTGAAATGTTCTTATAATTCCAGCGAATGCCTTAAAGGAGCCTTGAATTTGACAATTATGGTTAACTCTGCTATTGAAGAAATACCTTGTAATTATTTCTTGTTCTGATAAGTCTTTATGACATCATTATGCCAAAGCATATGATCGTTGCCTTGAAAGAGACATTGAAATGCTTTAATATGGCAGCTGAACCATGTAAACACTTGATCTTGTCTTTCCATCTCACTGTCGGTCATGGGGAAGGGGAATGGGCATAGCTATAGGGCAGGGGGACTGTAGTTTGTATGCATGTTTGCTCATTGTACAGAGGCCGTGGGGTACCCTAATGGTTAAAGTATCCGCTAGTCACTCTAAAGACCCAAGTTTGATTCCCCACATGGGTACAATGCATGAAGCCCATTTCTGGTGTCCCCCCTGCTGTGATATTGCTGGAATATTGCTAAAAGCGACTTAAAACCATACTCACTCACTCACTCACTCATTGTACAGAGAGCCCTTGTTTGATTCCCTAGCTGTATACCATTTGTGTCCTAATTTATATTCAGATCGGACACTTACTTTCCTTATCTGTCGATTTGCTGCAGATATGTGAAGAGTTAATGACACGCTGCCTGGCTCCCGACTGTCAGATGGGAGGGCTTGGATGTGACAACATGACTGTTGTGTTGGTGTGTTTCCTCACGGGAGGAACATACGAGGACTTGGTGAGGAAATGTAATCAACCAAGTAGGAATGGTCCAGCATCACATCTCAGGGACTATCATGGAGTAGAACTTAAATAGTGTTGTCCACAGCATGCTACCACAACAGGTACCTGCATGGTCTGGATGTTTGCCTGGTTCACACAAAGTCCTGCTGATCATACACAACATTATGGAGACAGTGAAGACGTGTTGCCTCTATACCCTCAACCCTTTCTACCTGTTGTGCCAGAGCTCTTCACTTCAAGGTTTCTCATGCCTTCCAAGCTAACTGTTACAACAATTATTAAAGGAAATATTGTCATGCAGTCAGTTGGTTCAAAATAATCTTTTGTGTTCCATTATGTTTCCGATAGTTCACATACAAACAAGCATATTTGTGGATGATAAGTGCTGCCTCTGTTGACAACCACAACCAAAGAATATTGTCACAGCTTACCCTGATGTCATAAATGACTTGGGCTGGCTAAAAAGATAGATAATCAGAAATATCTTCATTGGAAAATTATATTAATTATTATTGATATGAAAATTATGTCATCAATAATATCGTACATAACCTGTTTTGATGAAATAGAGTTTTGATTAACACAGACAATGCACAAAGGTACGTCTTTAGTCATGGGCTGCTTCTTAATTATGTTCAGACAATGCTTTTATTAGTAATCCAAATCTAAATATGTCACAGTTACCGGGTATGTGAAATATTTTTATTTATTTCAGACTAGTGAAAACATTTTGCTCAAAGTTTATCAATAATCAATCAATATTAAGTGAACCATTATTGATCTCTGTGATCTATATTAAAAGCCAGCCCTATAATTGACTACAACGAAATCAGTTTTAAACAAACTCTGTTTTAAGAAATATCTCCGTGGTATTTGAACTAGATGTCAGTAGTCGTTACTGAATAGGAAATGTTAGAATGTCAGTGGTTACAAGTTGTACAACTACAAATGATGTGATGAAAGATCAGAAATAGCAAAATGACACAGATTTTGATAATAAGTTTCTAGGAGCTGGCTATCGATTTTAGATCATACAGATTGATGATCATTAAGTAAATTTCAGTATGTAATCAATAATAATGGAGCATAAATTAAGAAAGTCCAATATGATTCAACATATTTCATGTCAGTCTTGTGTTGGGACACATTTAGCATTTACAATACTAAGAAAAATAACATTCCGAAACTAATTTTGTAAGGGGCTCATTACAAGGATGTAGCTTTGTGAATTCGGTGTGGAAATTAAAACTCGTTTTTTCATTTTATCACTTTAGCTTGTGTAACATATTGTTGATAAAACAGTTTTCATATTGATACTAATAAATATTCCTTTCTGTTGAAAATGTTTCAGTTCAGCAATCTTCTTAGCCAGAACGAAGAGTTTCAGTTTTGGTTTGTTGCAAAATTTAAGAGCAGTATACTGTTATTGTTTTTCAAAATAAATAATTGAAAAGGCAGAGCATCATCATGTTGATTCTTTTTAGCATTGATAAAAAAGGCATAGGAACATTGCAGGCAGTCTCCCACGGTAAATGTAGATGTAATAATGGCTTGAATGAGCATTGTTTGAATTACTCTTCCTTAAAACGAAACACATCGATGTTGACAAAACTTCAGGATTTGTATTGATGTGCTCTAGTAAACCCTAACAAGAAAAAAATATTTGTGTCTTCAGTATGGACTACTGTAATGCTTAATTTCAAGTATAAAGTCCTTTTTATGTATCATGTTCAAAAACTATACATACTTCATTGTTCTGTTGGTGTATCTTGTTCAGTATTGTTGTTGTCTTGTTACCTTGTTGTCTTGATTTTGTCTCATGAATTTACATTTACCAAAAGAGAGATTGCCTGTTTCTTGAATTCAGATGAGTGTGAACCAGTTCAAAAGGCTGTGGCATTGCAGGGTCCAGTTTCACAAAGCTATCATAGTGCTATGACTGTCATAAGTCTATGTTACAGTATAGGAGGTAGGACCGTCATAGCGCTACGGTAGCTTTGTGAAACAGGGCCCAGTACATCAGAAACAGTTGTCATAAGTCCTGGATTTGTTTCTGTTTCACTGTGCATCCCTTTTAGTGTCAATCTTGCTTGCATAACTGGAGTTTGCATACACTATGTAAGGGAAGTAATACAAACTCTCTTTTTGTGTGGCCTTATAGAGAATGTCTCATTACCAATATACTCTGAGTATCTACATGTTGAGTTTCTCTATAACTTCCACATTGTATATACTCTAGATATCTATCTTGTCACCGTCTTTTCACAGCCTTGAATGTGTCATGACAGTAAAAAAAAATTGTGTACAGTATCATCATCATCATCATCCCATGTATCATGTTGTTCTTTGTGGTTTTGTTGACAGATTGTAAAAAGTCATGTGTGTTATGTCATTGAACAAGGATATTACTTGTATAAAATGTGTTTTACTTATAAAGATGAACTCATCCTTGAATTAAAGTTATTATTTTTAGCATTGTCAAATAAATGCTGCAGACAATAAGTTATTGGAATGTTTTTGAAGTCAAAGTAGTTTTATAGCAGTTCATATTGAGTTTGTGTTATGCTTTAAGCAGTGTTAAAATGGTGATATTGCATAGACATTTGTCAAGAAATGTCCTTGGCGTTATGAGGTCAGCTCTAGCCAACATGTATACAAACATATATACACGTGATGGAGGCATACTTTTAATGTTGATTATTTTTAGAAAAAGAAGATCTTAAAATGTTGCATTTATCTCTTGTCACTTTGAAATAGATAATCTACTGTGAAAAAATTGTATTCCTTTATTCATGTCAGAAACCAAGCCTGTACATATGCATGTCTGAAAGAAGCAAATATATGCAGCAATATAACTGGTTAATAAATGGATAGGAACCAAGACAAAACTTCAAATGTAAATTGTTTGATTATTTGTGCATTATGATCTGATACAAATGTAGGCTTTTCCATACACACACCTCAAATCTGTGCATGGTGATGCTCCAGGCTGTAAATCCATAGTGTCATATGATTACAAGATGCGAATATCCATGAGAATAGGTGTCCACATTTTCCATGAGAATTTCTGTATCATATATCCATATTGTATCAGGCAGCTATTTATATGGCAATAACAGTGAAATTCTCATGTTCAATGCATGGATTCAACTCAATATGACGCTTGACTTATTCAGGGTCATTGATTCAATGAAAGCTGACTTCACTGTATGCATTTAAAATGTTTTAAAATATTTTGTTTTCTTTAAGTTAATATGCATTTTAACTTAAGGCCATGCCAGACATTTTCTTGGACTTGTTCAAGTTTTAGAATTTTCAAGAACAGACAGTAAGTTGAACTCATTCATATTTTCATGTCATTTGTTGAGAATGTCAATTAAACGAAAACCATTGACACTAACATGCAGCTGAAATTGTTATTCTCAGGTGACCTTCATTTTCAGAAATACATAGGTTTATTTATATCCTTATCTTATGACCATTTTGACTTGACATCATGAAATACTGGTGTTGACATTATAGTGTAGTCCTATATATGTTCAACTGGGACAAAAGCCAGTGTGGAAGTTTGTTCATGCTGCAGGATTCTCTCACATAGAAGTCATATTGTTAATGCTTTTAGTCACCTAAACAGTGTTTTTGTAATGCCTTCAGTGATTCTTATTTATAGCAATATGAATTGGGAGTGCTCAATGATCAAATATAGATAGACGGTCATGCTCAGAGTCAGTTTTGGAAACGAGATTGGAGGTGATACTGATAGTCGAAACTGCACACTGATCATGATTTCCTAGACAAATTTGACGTTGGTATATTGTAACAGTTTGAGTGAACAATAAGCTTGTATTAACCCAGCGGCTCAGTGCTTCCTTCTGTGTTTGCAATACCAAAATACAATAGAACCTTGTGGATTCAAACTTGTTATGTTCATATGAAGCACTTCAAAGGATGTTGAGCAGAATTGGGGTTCTTTGTCATTATTTGAACCCTGCGTAAGTCACAGTTGCATGAGTCAATGTTTCACACAGCCAGTGTGTGTCAATCTGTTTTCTGCTCCTTTGTATCAAAGTACATGGTAATTGAACTTCACTGAGCCAAATGCTTGTCGTAAGAGGCGACTAAGGGGATCGCGTGGTCAGCCTTGCTGACTTGGTTGACACATGTCATCGGTTCCCAATTGCGCAGATCGATGCTCATGCTGTTGATCACTGGATTGTCTGAGGCTCGATTATTTACAGACTGCCGCCATATAGCTGGAATATTGCTGAGTGCAGCGTAAAACTAAACTCACTCACTCACTCACTGAGCCAAAGGATCTCCACACACTGGGTGAGTCAGTGATGCTGACATACAGTGACTACATAAACTGCTCTCTGCAAGCTTCTCACATTCACTATGATTCAGTTGAGATTGTAGTCTGTCTACAGTCCCTGAACCACATTATTTTCCATACTACCAAGCCCTATCTGCAGTGCTAAAGCCCTAAATAAAGCAAGTCAAGATTTCCTCAGGTTCTGAATCTCTGGTCTTCCTGAGGCTCCTTTTCAATTTAAATGGGCTTGTTTGTTTCTATCAAAATTATATATATTCAGAGACTAAGCATTAGTCTATTGAGATTGCTGTGTGATATCAGTTTATGTAAGGCTGCTAGTCAAACAGGTGACTGATCATAGGGAGTAACCTATTTCTAACTAGGCTCAACAAGTAAATCTCCCTATCTGTTTAAACACCATTGACTTCTATCTAACAATATATGTTGTTCCTGCATTAATAAATGACATCACATTTCTTACTTATTTTAGAACATGTTTCAGAGGTACAGATAAGCTGCGTATCTGCCTAAATTACGCAAATATTTATGTGAAAACTCAATTCCGATAAAGTCTGTTGCGTACGAGTATGCTTGAATTTTCGTAAATACTCAATACATTTGATCTTACATGCGTACACACAAAATAATATAACTGAGGTATATTGAGAGGTTCTATTTCAGCACATGAACTTGGTAACTTGCATTATTTTCTGATCGTTTCTCATATTACAGATCAAGTATAAATAACAAAGACGTAAACCAACATTTAAACTTTATTGTATAATTACAATTAATGGAAAATGGCAAACTACCCAATTGAATTTGAGTGTGGTGGGTACAATTTATTGACCCAAAAAGTTATCTGCAGCTCTGATGTTTTGTGATTGTCAGTTTGAAAATGGTCTCTTTTGGCATGTGATTCTATTTGTGGTACAATGGATGACCCAGATACATCACTAATCTGACGGGGCAGTGGGGTAGCCTAGTGGTTAAAGCGTTCGCTCGTCACACCGAAGATCTGGATTCGATTCCCCACATGGGTACAATGTGTGAAACCCATTTCTAGTGTCCCCCGCTGTGATATTGCTGGAATATTGCTAAAAGCGGCGTAAAACTTAACTCACTCGCTCACTAATCTAGCATGTTTATGCACAGTGTCACGAGTGGTTTAGTTGTCTCAGATGCAATAATTTGCTGTGTAGAGGAGTGTTTTCTTGAGCATGCCATGAAGTTCTTTGATTCACAGACTATGGTACTACATGCATGTAGGTTTGTTCACACTATACCTGCGCTCTTATCACTCAGAGCCTACCTCTTATATCAGTCCTACAGGTCATAACGGATATACTTTTCCAAGTGTTGTTACAACTAACTCATTGTTTGTAATTCTACTCACTTTGACTCCCCAATTATCTCTCCTTCAGAAGAACTGAATGTCAAGTTGAGTTTGCAAGGTTTCACTGTATATGTGCATATAGTACATCTGGAGCTTCAGTCACATGAAGAGTCATTTCTAGAAATGCCACCCACTATCAGTATTCTGTTAGTAGATATCAGTTGTCATTTGTAAGCATTGATATTTGTTTGTGTTAACGAAGTTCAATACAGTCATGTATATGCCGTTAGACATGTCTTTGTGGAGTTCAAATAAAACATGCTTTGTAATATGCAAGTGTATCATACCTGTTTTTAAACGTCAGAAAAGTGATTAGAACATTGCTAGTCTAAGTATATTGTTATGCAAGTTAATGTCTGAGGAATCTCTTTCATAGTAAATGTATCCAGACATGCTAGTCCCTTATGAGTATGTTTTCCAGAATTCCTTTCCCATGCTGTATCCTAGTCCCCACTTTCTTCTCATTTCACTGATACATACAGTAATGGTTGATATTCTCTGCTATGTGAAACAATGGTTATTCTTGCTTTATTACCCTTTGTAAATTCTCTTCAGTTCTAAACGGGCGGTGGGGTAGCCCAGTGGTTAAAGCATTCACTCGTCACGCTGAAGGCCCAGGATCGATTCCCCACATGGGCACATTGTGTGAAGCCCATTTCTGGTGTCCCCTGCCGTGATATTGCTGGAATATTGCGAAAAGCGGCGTAAAAACCCAACTCACTCACTCAGTTCTACACAAGTTTATTTGTGTACTTGACACTAAGCAAAACATCCTATATGTATTTCCATTTGGAAGCTTTGGGTCAAGTAAAGCAGGATTTGTGGGATTTCACCAACATTATTCTTTTAGTTATTATTCTTTGCAGTGCAGGCAAGTTGTATCTTACTGCACAATGAAATATATAGAAGTTCAAATGAGCAAATCAGTCCTGTGTAAACCTTAAACATTAATAGGATTTGGTAGGTCTTGTTATGTTTTGTTTCTCATGTGCTAATGTTTAGCTTAACTAGATGCAAGGTCTACGGAAGCTGATGTTGAGGGTGTTGTCTATCAATCCATCTTCTGTCCGTCTTTTTCCAAACAACAAAGTCAGATGAGCTGAGAAGTAGTGCAAATGATTTTGTCCTTTTTGTAGAAATCAAGCTATGGACAAAATTAACATGTCTGTTATCATTACCATTGCCTTTGCAGGGCATTTAGAAGTGATACACACCATACTAATTTTCAGGGGATATGGGGAGTGTCAACATCATCACGACACCTGCTGTCAATAAAAACACCCAACAAATCTGCACAGTGTTTTTCTCTCAATTTGGGCTTGTTTAGTGGTTATAGTCCGTTTGATATCATTTTAGACTGATGAAGTGCTCACTAACACAAAATCTAATAACTGCAACAAAACCAACTTTTGCACAGTAAACAGTCCAATGGAATCGACAGACCAACTCTGATAATTTGTATCACAATTTTGGACACCCGACTAAAAGTTGTTTAACAAACAATCATTATTTTGTGTCTAGAATCCATATATTTACGGTGAGCTACAAAACCTTGTAATCTTTTCCTCGCAACAATAGAATGTATTATAATGACTCATGTATGTCATCTACTGTAACCCTTGTATTCAATCCAGTTATTCAAAGTGATGTCTTCCTTTCAGTGAAATTGTAATACTGAAAATATTTGCATTGCAGTATTTAACTTTTCTGCAGCCAGTATTGTATCCTGTTTACTTCTTTCCTTGTGGAGATTTCTGTTAATATCATTAATGTTGGAAATATTTAATAGTCTCCAATTGTTGTGATGTTAATCACGGCCTACTGAAGAAGTGTCATCATTGGAACTAGCCTGTAGCAATATGTACTTCACAAGTGACAGAAAATCAGGGAAATGATCACAGTAATCCTTCTTATCACTTTTGTGTAACTGTTTGCAGTGGTGAGTTGAGAGCTTGCTCTCTTGTTTGAATCCCAGGTAACTATGATATGGAACCTTGGTTTAGTGGCACCATAACATGCTGTGTGGCAAGGTATGTTCATGCCACATTAAGCTGACATCACAAGTAATTGTTCAATACAGTCTAAGTAAACTTAGGCTCAATCCAAGTAAACTTAGGCTCAGTATTATTCGTTACACAGCTATACGGAGTCTAACAAACCCTAGTAGAAGGTCGCGTCAGCTAGCCTATGCCCGCTCAATCAGATGATATATGGTGATATATAACCATTTAGATGATAAGTACCATTTTTAAGTTTTCAAGATTCCTGCAATTTACGCCCCCTTTAACCAAATACTCCATTTCAAATTTTCAGTAATTTCATATTCTATAACCTTTTCTTGAAATTTTAAGCTATAGGTTGGTATACATTTAGTTACAAGTATTTCAGGAATGTAAATACCTGATGTAATGAAACAAAAGATAAGCAATCCCTAATTTTCTGCCACTTGTATGTAATTGTTTTTGTTATCTTTGTGTGGTTCTAAACATTGTTCAAACTGGAAAATATCTTAGTGGTACTACTACCATGACAAATTCCACCTTAGGTTCAAGTGCCTTTACATGAGAACTATTTTGTGAAAATAATGACACTTGTTTATCCAATTATGAATTTTGTTTGTATATTTGTCAGACATTGTGAACATGGTTCACTTTTACCTAGTCTTGTTTTCTTCATCTTATCTGAACCAAAGGCCCAAATGAATTTATGGTCTTGCTTCTTTGTCATATGCTTGTGGAAAGCATCATTCAGCTAGGATGACAAACATATATTCACCAAAGATCACCAAATTATGGTTGGTTCAGTAATAAACTGTTAATATAACATTGATTCAGACTGCTTGTGTTTATTTTTATTAACTTTGTTGATAATATTCATTTCGAGCCAAAATATCAAAGGCTTCACATTCTTTAATAATACTGAGTTACAAACTTCATGATGTATTAAATAATAATGAGCTATAGAACATTTAGTTGCAATTTCTTATCAGAAAGGGACATATTTTTATTACTGTTATCATTTAAGATTTCATTGATAATCCAAGTTGAAATTACTGAGAAGTAATATTGCATATTTCAATTACTTAAATTCAATTATATGTATCCTGCTAAAAAAAATATTCTTTGAATGAAGAAATCCTCTACATTCAGTACTGATGTATGAACAGATATGTCCATGTGCAGATAGCTGATACAGATAAATTACCTTCACCTGACAGGCTCCAAATTTGCTCCTATGTTCGAAGTATGTGTATTGCTAAACAACTGTGCTCTATTTAACTGTGATGTATTTATAGGCCTTTTGTGGGTCAATATCTAATGGTTTGTATATGTTTTCGTTTATCCACGTCATTTAATGTATGCAGGCATTGGACTCTGCCTTGTATTTAACATGATGTTTCATTCTACATATTTTGAATATTGTGGGAACAGAATTTTAGGTAAAATGTTGAATATGTATTCAGTATGTATATGATGATATAACAACATATGTTTCTCACAATGAGGAACTCAGATACAGGATAAGAATGAGCTACAGGCAAGACTCTTATCACTCTCCAAAGTAAACAGACTCATAGACAGTTTGGTAAGTCTGTTATCACAAAGTTTAGTAGGGCAAAGGACTCAGGTCACATGCATCGTTTTACACAGCAGAAAATCAGTTATGTTTGATTTGAAATCCCCATACACCTATCAGTGTTAGAATTTAAGACATTATAGAATAAACTAATGTATGTATATATGTTAATTTCTGTGTACTGTACATTAGATGAGCTAAATATGAAGATATTACTTGTTATGGTTGTTGATTACCAGTTACACATTATGCATAGTTTGTGCTAATTTATGCTAGAGATAAGGAGATAAGTGCTGGAGGTACCTCATGCAACCATATGGTATACCGCAACTTATTTTCAAATGGGGTTTATTCCAAGTTGAGTGATAATAAATTGTTTTATAAAAATAAATATATTGCCTTTCCTTATTTGTGATATTTCCATGATTTGTCAACTCTTTTTTGTGACTTCAGTTGTGTTGCTGTTTTTGCTGCGTATAGAGCATATATGGTGTTATGTCATTCTTTAAAATATCTGACATGCAAAAACTTGTTGATATGACATCAGATAAGACCCTCAATGTATAGAATAATGAATGGTTTGCAATTTCTTCCTGCAAAAGTCATCATATTTAATCCCGCTAAATGTGTTAAGCCCATTTGTTTCAGTGATCATACTTAGTAGACCACAATATATTCAGTTTGTTTAAGTACTGTTAACAAGAATAACCCCTGAGCAGTATGTATTCTCTCTCACTCACTCACTCACTTACACACACACACCACCAGATGTATCTAAGACATTGGCAAACCAGACTCACTCACTCATTCCAAGTCTTGAACCATATTTCAGTTATATACTGGCAAGTCTACTTGCTGTGGGAGGATGTTTAATGTCTCAGTCAGAGTCCCATCTGGGCATAAGAAACTAGCATGAGCAAATATTAGAACCTTTGATTTGTAGTTTAACACCACACTCGGCAATATTCCAGCTATGTGGTGGCAATCTGTAAAAAATTGAGTCTGGACCAGACAATCCAGTGATCAACATCATGAGCATCGGTCTATGAAATTGCCTCAACCAAGACGGGCGGAGTCTGACACATAGGGGAACATGACACATAGTTATCTAACTCAGTGGACCTACTCACCAGGAGTCTCTAGTGACAATATTTGTTGGCGACTGAGGATCTACTTTCCAAGACACCACAGGAATGAAAGCCAAAAGTGGTGTCTTAGATGTCTGTGTGTTTAAGTATTCACAGGTGTCCAACAACAGATTTAAAACAGAAGATAAAATGCTGAAAAATACATTTATGTTCCAAACAAATAACAGACACTATAAACTATAGAAAACTATACACATGCAGCCTTGGAAATTCTATCTTTTAAAGGCTCTCCCATTGACAAATCAAAAGAGGCGCGTGCGATTATACGTCTTCTCAGAAGAGAAACCTGTTCCGGAAGAGGAGTCTTCTGGGTTATATCGAATAGCCGAAAGCCGTGCTCTTCTGCTCGCTCTAAAGCTCGTGAATGAGAAGAGCGGGAAGTACTTCCGAGAAGAGAAGCGTGCAAATCAAACATCCGGAAGAGTCCACTTCGAGAAGTGTAAATCACACGCACCACAGTTCTAAGGGTTTGGAGCTGATCCAGCCTGAACAAGACAAAAATGTATTTACTATTACATTTTCTGTCAGTAATATTCAATCTGTAGCAAACTTGTAGCATCAAGACCTGGTTCAGAATTCTTGCCCTCAATTGCTGCTTGTGAATGACGACTACCATAACTGGATTTGTACTTGTCCTCTACACAATTGAGTTGTCTTGGGTGAGCGGACAAGCTGGAATTTGAAAGGCTGCACTTACATACAAACTTATTTTTCAATAGTTCAAAATTGTTAAAAGTAGGAAAAAGTATCCTGAGATAAGCTAAAATGTGACACAAGTCATGGAAAGGTTATCCATTAATGGACTAGCCGTATAAGTCAGAATCCTTGTGTTCTATAGAAAAAAATACTGTAATGCTCTCTGTGGCAATCTCAAGTCCAGGATGATTCTATATTAGTAAGGCAAGCCAAAACAATATTCTTGTTTGCAGGGGAAATAACTGATTAAGCAGAGAGTGAGGATTTATGTTTTGGGTTATTTTGAAAGTAAAAAATGTGACCTCTTGATGGTATGCCACTTACTGCTCAATGTGAAACATGTTGGGGTCAAGTGCAAAAGGTTAAGTTCCAGGTTTAGTATTTTTAAATATATGATGTAGGGGCAAATTTTTGAGTGAGCAGGTCATTGAAAGAGACCATTATTTAACAAGCCAGACAGTTTTATAAGCTGATGCAGTCATGTGTCTGATCTGGAGGCTGCTATGACACTAAGAGCCTGCAGTCAGCAATATTCAAGCAGTGTGGGGCAATAAATCTATAAATAATCAAATCTAGGCCAATCAAAGCAAAGGTAGATAACATCATGAATAACAATCCATGCCATACACAACATGATCATTTAGAACACACATCAAATGATTTCCTGCCTGAGACGCCTGAGGTTCCCCAAAGAGACAAGCAAGGTGTACTGTGTACCTACTCTTCAATTCAGAGAATCAAGCATGAACTGCTGAGTAAATGAAACTACACTACTCAACTTGAGGTAAGGATCGCCCTCGGACACAAACCTTATACGTCAAGTGTATATTTAATTAGAATTATCAGCATCCCTGACAAAAGTATATGCCGTACTGATCCATCATGATCGTAAATTCTTATCATAAATTCTCAGAATTGAAGAACAACAAAGTATTTCATACCATGACACATTAACGTAAGTAATTTGAAGGAATAAGGTATTCTTGTGCGTAATATAGCTTTAGGTTTCATATCACCACGTGACCATACCGTAGGGCACTGATACAGTATATCTGACCAAACTAGATGTCCCAGACACTCATTAAAAGGCAATGGGGCAAATGCTGAGATGTCATAGATGATGTCAGTCTCCAGCAACATTCAAACAGTCCTTCACACCATACATTATACTGTACTGTTCCCAAAGAGTGAATGAGTGAGTTGGGATTTATGCCGCTTTAACCAATATTCCAGCAACATCACGGCAGGGGACATCAGAAATGAGCTTCATACATCGTACTCATGTGGGGAATTGAACCCTCATCCTTGGTGAGACAATCAAACGTTACAACCACTAGGCTACCCTACAGCCGGTTGGAGTGAGTATTCAATAAAAGGAATGATGTGAGATGAAACTGGGTTTGATATTGTGTTATCACAAGGTTGTCACACTTTCGAAGCAATGTATGGTTGTGTGTGCATATGAATATGCCACTCAGACACAGCAAACTGACTCGGAACTGACCGATTCCTCTTTCATACTCAGCAGTGTGTAACAGGATGACAACAAATATACTTTTACGTCTTTTGGTTCAGCTGTGTGAGGGAGTGAGCGAGTATGGTTTTAAGCCACTTTTCGCAATATTCAATTTCCAGCAATATCACGGAAGGGAACACCAGAAAAGGACTTCACACGTTATTTCACACCTATGTGGGGAATCAAACCCAGGTCTGCTACTGACTAAACAGCAGGAATGTATTAACGATATGTAGTCAACAAGAGGATTTTGGTCTGTTTTTGAGGTACGTTGGCCTTCCTCGGGTATTACAAACCTGGACAGGTGGGTGGATGGATCATTTTTCTCTATGTATTTACCGTATTTTTTGCACTATTACCCGCTCCTGAATATTACCCACACCCCAGTTTTGAAGTAAATCTCCACTACACAGTCTACACATAACCTGCACCTTACTATTACCCGCAACCTTTTGTGCGATTCAGTGTAAAACTAAAAGTAAGACGCTGAATATCTTTCAGTAGCCAGGATCTAGCGTACCTTTATTGGGAGTTGCCTTCATGAGGTTTTCAAAATCGTTATAATTTGTTATCCTTCTTCTTTGTTATATCCTTTTTTCCATATTATTTGTAGTAATAAATTGTCACTATTAGTGTCGTTGACCGATTGAACATCGTGTGGCTGACGGATGCGTCGCGTCGCCATTTTAGAAGTAGACCGCACCGAATGGACAAATATTGTAGTAAATTCATGTTTCAGATAACTTTAATAATCTTTCGGGATAAATCATCATGATTTCTTCTGAATAATAAAAATAATCCATTGTCGTTATTACAGCAGTTTTAGAGGGAAACAGATGCGGGTAATAGTGCAAAAAATAAGGTAGTGTTCGTCACAGACAAATAATTGATATCAATTCAATAATCCAATTGGTGTGAAAAATAGGATATAAAATAAAAACATGTTCTTTGGAGTCAACAGGCATTTTATACCCATCACACAGGATCTGTATTCAATCAATCCAAGTTTCAGGTACAGTGGTCCCTTAATCACATGTTTAAGTGAGTGAGTATAGTTTTACATCGTTTTCAGCAATATTCCAGCAATATCACGGCGGGGAATGCCAGAAAATGGGCTTCACACATTACCCATGTGGGGAATCGAACCCGGGTCTTCAGCATGACGGAACAATTGCTTTAACCACTAGGCTACCCCACCACCCCAACATGTTTAAGTCTCTCCATGGCAGTCAGCTGACAGTAACATTAAGAGTGAGTGAGTAAGGTGAGTTTAACACCACTTTTAACATTATTCCAGATAGATCTTGGTGTGTCAGCTTAATGTGGGTCAAAAGTCCAAACTGATGCAGGTCAGACATTTACCACTTTGCTGACGAAACCTTGAAACTTATTTGGGCCAACTGGGGAAATGAAGGAATCATAGGTGCATGGCATGCCATAGGGACATAACTCTGCACAGTGCAACCAGCATAAACATTCAGTGTAATTTGACTGGATGTCTGTCAAAGGATGAAGTGTCACTAGAACCAGTTTAATAATGAAGCAAAATTTGGGAACAGGTTCAGGGCATATCACAAATGAATGGAGGCATACTGTGGATGTTCAAAGGTGGGGACTATTCTGATAGTTTATACAGTTTGTTGTAGCTCGCTCCCTAGCTGATGACCCGATCCATCATAAACTTGACAGCCTCCTTCCTCTTGAGAACTCGGGGAACTTTGTACTGTACAGAGGAGGCTGTGGTGTTCTGGATCATGAAATGCCGAAGTTCGGCAAACGAGCCTGGCCTGACAAAATGGACTTTCATTGGTCCGATGCTTCCCTTCTTTCGGAAGGAAGAGTAAACATAAGACTGGCTACTCAAAGTCTCGTCAATCTGAAATTAAATGTGTTTGAATATTTAAAACAAATTTAAGCTGGGTTAAGATGATCAGAATGAATGAAAACAGACTGGGATTTTCAGCATAAATAGCAACTAAGTTTACACGTTGGAATGACAACAGAATTTGCAGTCACAAAAAGGGAGTGAGTATGCTTTTAAGCTGCTTACAGCAATATTCCAGCAATATTTGCAGTAAACACAAGTGGTCCTGACAAGAGTGAGTGAGTTGGTGAGTATGATTTAATGGCATTTTAAGCAATATTCCAGCAATATCACGGTGGGGAACACCAGAAATGGGCTTCACTCACTGTAGCCATGTGGGGAATTGAACCCATGTCTTCAGTATGACAGGCAAACACTTTGACAACTAGGCTACACCTAAAGAAAACTTAAAATATTTGATATGAACATTAATTAATTACATGACAAGGTAATTGGACAAGGATATACAGAAAATCCTGTTGTGGGTTAAATAAGATCTCAACATCTTCCCCTGCAACTATAACACATGTTGATCTCCCACACACAAGCTTAGTTTCAGGTAATGGAGTGTTCATGATGAAGTATAATATAAAGTGAGTAATACCTTGTTTCTGTCTGCGTTCGGAACTGTTGGTGCCGCTCCCGACTTGGATGGCTCGACCTCCAGAAACACGTGATAACACGGTGTGCTGCCAACTATACCTGCACAGAACGCATATACACTGCAGTCTCTCCAAGTTGTACTTCTCAAATCATCATGACGAAGATATGGACAAGACAGAGAGAGAGTCACAGATAGAGAGAGAGATATCGAGAGAGAGAATCTTAAATCCAACAGTATTACCTGACTCACACATTTCACAGATTTGTTTGTTTATTGTTTAACTCAGCAATAGTAATCAAGTCTGGACCAGACAATCCAGTGATAAACAGCATGAGTAATGATCTACGCAATTGGGATATGATGACATGTGTCAACCAAGTCAGCAAGTCTGACAGTGAGACATTTTAATGAGCGAGAGTACAGTAACATACAGTAACGCATGTATTTTTGGTTTAGCCTTCAACATAGAAAGGTTGCTCTTGGTTATGCCATACAGTAGTGAGTGAGTTAATTTTACGCCACACTCAGCAATATTCCAGCTATATGGCGCATGCCATACAGTAACGCATGTATTTTTGGTTTAGCCTTCAACATAGAAAGGTTGCTCTTGGTTTATGCCAGGAAACCTAAGCTCTAATGTGTACACGCTAAAATAATTTCTTTTAATATTTGTGATACAGACGTCATCAAAGACTCCAATTCATTATTTATCTCATCGCTCAACTAGTCACATAGCGTAACTGACAACTAAGCATGACTTTGGACAACCTCAGCTTTAAAGACTACTGAGTGAGTTTAGTTTAAGCCGCACTCAGCAATATTCCAGCTATATGGCGGCGGTATGTAAATAATCAAGTCAGGACCAGACAATCCAGTGATCAACAGCATGAGTTAAAGACTACTGCGCTGCATCCAAGTTGACCGACGTACTTGAGAGTATTCCGGCATCATCGAGATAGATGCTTTCAGCACAGCAGTAATCAGTGAGGTTGACATCTGACCAGGACGGCACCGTCCCACTGAGAGCGGAGTAGAAGGAAGACTCAGAGGTCTTCTCCCCACGAACATTCAGGAACTGGCCTTGTCTGCAGGTTATATAAGATACAAATGGTTTTAATATATTTGAAAATATTTTTGTTTCCAGGAACATTTAATGACAGATACCATCAGTTTGTTTTTTAAAACCTTTAACATTTCGCATCACGGTTCTCTATGCTGAAACTAGGAAATATTCCTAGAACTTACTCTTATTAGAAATATGGGATGTCTAGTTCACAGAAATGTTACTGACATGCTCATCTGAAACTCACCTGAATTATAATGAAATAGTGAGTTTAATTTTACGCCGCTCTCAGCAATATTCCAGCTATATGACGGTGGTCTGTAAATAATGGAGTCTGGTCCAGACAATCCAGTGATCTACAGGATGAGCATCGATCTACGCAACTGGGATATGATGACATGTGTCAACCAACGTCAGCGAGCCTGACAACCCAATTCCGTTAGTCTATCATGAAATAATTGTGGTCACATATAAAATCAGATCAGAATTCTGGAACCATTATGTAGAGACACTATAGCTGAAATATTTTTGAGAGTTTCCGCCCAGTTGGCCTTGTAGTTCGAGAGGACAAAAGAGGAGTTGTTGAGACTACAGAATCTCATAGGTTCCAGTTTCATCAGAATATATAACGGCTAAAAGTGTATCACATACTACTTCACTTACCACATACTTGTTGCTTATTAAATTCTGTATTGATGTACGCATGTATGGCCGATAAAGGGCCCAAAAGGACAGTTTCAATTTGGCCACAGTGGCCAACATTCAGATCAGGATGAATTGAGCAATAATTAATGACAATTGAATCATTCATGCTAAATTGCAGTTTAACAAGCCTTGTAGTTTTCGAAGAGATGACAGTACATGATGGGTAAACAACAGCCGATATACTACAGCTGATTTCACTTGACTATGTAACAAACATACAATTTAAGGTTATCAAATTAAGTAATGTCCTAAGTTCGTGACCCCAGTTGAGGGGTTGAGGTTTAGACCAGACAAGGATGCAGGGGATACTAACGACTTTGTTTTTAGTTATAAAAACGTTAATTGGGGGTTTCGAGTCATTCTTGTCCAACAAGGAGAGTTCTATGGATATACAACTTCTTTGATATAATATGAGCATATTATATTAAAGAAGTTTTATATCCATAGAACTCTCCTCGTTCATCACACCAACTTGTAAATGCCACTCCAAGAAGTCATTCTTGGCCACATGTGATCTAAATGGTATCAGAGCTCATCAACATAGCCAGTGTATGAAATAAGCCAAAAACCCAGCCAGACATCTGGGCTGGTAACTTCAAAAACTTACCAGCCCAGAAGAGATATAATCAGTCCTTCTTAAATACTAAATATACAGTGCCAATGGACACGTTATCTGAATATTTTTATTCACCCGTCCATCGGGCTGGCTAGCTGTAAAACTAGACCGTCTGGCAGAAATTTAGCCCGTCTCGGGCGGTCGGACGGGCCTTATTTCATACACTGGCATAACCTCCTTCGACCTACCACTGGTATTGCCATCTGAAACAGAACTAATAAAAACCTAGGGTACAGGCTAGCTATTGCTAATTCCCACCTGTATTTGAACTCAATGATTGGACACTGGTTGTAGAAGCCGGTCACCTTGACAACATCTCCGAACCTGTATCTGTAGACGCAGCTGAGGTTGGTGATGGCTAGCTCATACTCTTTACCCACTTCAACCTGCAAACAAACGTCCATGTCAACTACACACAGATCCAATAAGGAATATGTTGGAGTATTTTTAAAACTGCTTCAAAAGGTGGTTAAGGCATTCGCTTGTCACGCTGAAGACCCGGGTTCGATTCCCCAGATGGGCACAATGTGTGAAGCTCATTTCTGGTGTCTCCCGCCATGAAATTGCTGGAATATTGCTAAAAGCAACGTAAAACTAAACTCACTCAAAAGGTATTGTCAGGCATGTTTTAATTGAAGTGTTGTTTTAATAGAGAATTACTGAGGTACTAGTGGGTACAACTGATATGCTGGATTCTTGACAAATTTGTGACTAAGATTGTGATGAAATAAGTAGAAATAAGTAGAAATTAACAGACATTGGTTGAATACTTGACAACATAAAGGAATAGAATACAATGTTTCGAAACTGTCAAACACATTTTGTGTAAGAGGAGTGAGGAGTGATTTTCTCTGTCAAATGTCCTGTCTCCGTGACAAATATATTACGTGTCTCACCCTGGTAGCATCTAGGATTTATACATTTGTCATGCTCCCTTCTGTATCTTCTCTCTATCTTCACTCACTGACACATTGCAGTGTAGCAGGTTGAGGCTACCTACTGGCAAACAAGGACAAGTTGAGCAATGACCTGACAATTGACGCGTATTAGCATGTATGAGTGACGCCCACTGGCGCTTGCCATTGTAAGTGAAGGGGCCCCAGGTTGTCCTGCGATCAAGTGTAGTGCGACTTGCTACACCGATGTGAGAGTCTTATGAGCAAGGCGTGTGCAGCTACACACGGAATCAATATCATCGACATGCAATGCACGTGCACTAGCCTACATCTGCTCTACCTTTCACAAACCAAATGGGTTTGCTCATTGCCCTGCACCGCCTACTTCTAGTAAACGCGTTCTCTGTGCCAGTCCAACTTATCCTTGTTTGCCAGTACATTCCTCCCCAATTCCCCTTCCTCACTCACCTGGTGCAGAAGCAGAATAGCAGCTGTAAACCCCCCCACAACGACCTTTCTCCCCCTAATTCCTCACTCCCCTTCTTCCCTCACTCACTCACCTGATGCATAAGCAGAGTGTCAGGCTGAGGTTCTTCTGCTCTGTCAATTGGAATGAACTCGAAGAATTGTGATGTCGGAACAAGGAGGTATCGGCTGGGGTATTGCTTGGGCCAGACGTTCACACCAATAAGTCCCTCAGAAGCTGCATAGATGGGAGAATACAGGGGAATGCCCTTCAAATATGTTTCACGCAGTTTTGTCCCATAAAACTCAAATGTTCCTGTGTCTGCCCCAATCACAACGGAGGCATCTGGCCATATTCGTCGTCCCAAACCAACAATACCTTCCTTGTAAGCATCTCTAAGTTCCAAGGCACGTTCTGGGTCGGGCTTCATTAATGAGTTTAATTCCTTACAAATACGCTCCTCAATATTCAAGTCTGGATTGATTCTGCCTTTTTCAATATCATCAACCAAAAGGTTCCATTTTTCTTCCATAGTCCTGAATGAATTGAATATAAGAGAGGAGAAATTTGCCTCCAACATGCCAAGTTTCTTTTCCTTCAGAGCGAACAACAAGTGCAGGTAAAGTGCCTCAGGTTCACTAAGAACTTCAAATGCTACTTTCGGTGTAGTATAGATGTGCAAGAGATTCTGTGACCTTGCTGGCGTTGATGAATTTGGTCCAATCTTTATCCCAGATGCTGATTCCGCCATTTTGGATTGTAAAACAGTTTTAAATTTTTCTGAAGGTTCCTTGACGCTGGAAACGCTTCTGTCAAACAATTATACAGCACTGATACACCATCGGTTAGAAACCGCATCGCCTGTCCTTTAACCATCGGCAGAATGTTACTCTTTCCAGATGTTCCTGATGTGACCCCAAATATGATTGGCTGATCAGCTGTCAGTATATTTGTCTCACCTTTCACCATTCGATCAATATATGGTTCAAAATGACTGTAACGAGTAATGGGGTGAGTCTTAATGAATTCTTCGACAGAATGAATTGAGGAGAAGTCATACCTCTTCCCATATTCTGTATTAGCATTCAGTTTCACCTGCTTCAGAAGAGTTTCCTCCTGAACTTTTTGAATATTTTTGGTAGTTTTTTCAAGTTTTCGTCGCATAAAGAATCCCAACCACGACAGACTGGATACAGTCAGATAATGATGTATGGCAGCACCAAAGGACTGATTGTCAAGTTTCCGTTTCCGCTGAACATCAACCAGGAATATTCCTGTACAGCCTGCAACTACTCCTGCCAGACCTGTGTAGGAATACCAGTATATGGTGAGCAGTGACACCACCAACCCAATCAACAACATCAACCCTGAAACAAACATGCAGTTGTGTTTACTTCAAACAGAAAATCATACAATATAATATTCCTTTCAATAATATACTACTCAAAACAGACTGAAGAAAGTAAAGTTGGAGAACTGGCAGGTTGTGTGTTACAATGCTGACCAGCCACGACAGATTAACGAAACTCAAATGAAAGAATTAACGGTAATATTCTTGAACCTCTTTCTGTGGTATACATTGGCGGATCCAGAGGGGGGGTTCAGGGGGTTCGAACACCCCCCTTTTGAAAATGACTTAAGACCACATTGAAGATTATTTTTTGCATTGGAGGAGCCAATGGGGGGTTCGAAACCCCTGAACCCCCATTCAAAATTCCTGGATCTGCCAATGGTATATATTTCATCGTTCTTTTACTATGTGTTTTAAATCAGAACAATTTTATGCCAAAGATTGAAATCAGCTGACAGTGAGTGAGTGAGTATGGTTTTCACCATTTAAGCAATATTCCACGATTATCATGCCAGGGTACTTACACACACTGTACCCATGTTGGGAATCCAACCTGGGTCTTCATTATGACAAACAAACACTTTGACCACTTGGATGGTAATGCTGGTAATGCCCATAGTACCAAATACAGCTCACATAGTTGTATCTACCAGTAAATGAGGTGCTAAGTTGTATATAGCATTAGCACCAGGGACTATTCCACAAGATTAGTGTTGTGACTGTTGCAAGTCTGTCATGAACTGAAGTATGGGAGTTAATCAGTTAGGATCATGTTAGTGCTAAGATCACACTGTGGATCCACATATGGGTTTTACATAGCTTTGTCAATGTCAGGTAATGAACCCCAGTCAACAGTGTGACAAGCCAACACCCCGACCACTGGCAAGGTACAATCTGATATATATATGAAAGTATTAAAAAATTAAACATCTTTATGGAAATATATATCCCGATGGTAAGATTTCTGCCCGTAACCACTTAAAATATATTCTAGGATTATTTTGAGGGTTTTGGGTTTAAGGTTAGGCTTTTTATTAAAAAAACCCATCTATTCTTTGGCATAGAATTATAAAATAAAAAAAGTGGGGTTACAGGCAACAATCTTTCCATACCGATTAACTTGGAAAATATATTTTGAAACTACGATATATTATAATTTATCTTACCTTTAACGGCAATTCTTAACAAACCCATAACTAACAGTAAAGTCAGTATTCCTGCGTCACGACCTGCAATGAGAACACCCTACACATAATAATATCCTGGTTACAGCAGTACAAACATAAGGAGAATCTGTGTCATAACTACACGTTATATATTCTTTTTCACTTCCGCGTTTATAATGATGCCAGTGTGTACTGTGGCCAGTGTGGGAAGCCTACTGTAGTCAAGTCATAAATCATTAAGTTGATTACTCTTCATGTGGCAAGTTTGTTCTTCGTAAAATCAGTTTTTGAAGAAGACATACTCTCTGAGAATTTTACATTTTACGAAACTGGGCAACTGAAGTTTTATTAAATCTAAAAGAAGATATTCATTGGAACTAGATGATACCGTTGAAGCTTCCACCTGTCTCAACTGTGCAACCATTGAACCGCAAGCTATATAGAGTTACCTCCCTTATGAAGAGGCTCAAGGGATAAATAAATGTGTTTCTTGCATGTGTTTGTCAAATAACAGGTAAATATTTTACTCCTATAATATCACTATGAGTTATCACAATATGTTTATCACGTGCTCATAGAACAGTAATTGTATTGTTTAACAGAAATTTAAGTATAATACTTTATGTATTATTTTAAGCAGCCCCAAATGGTCCCCTAGCTATAAGGAAGGTAACTCCAAATTATATCGTAAGAAGGGCAGGTAACTCTCGCACTTGACTTCCCACTTGCAGATACCAAGCTTGTCGTTCGATACCGGTAGGACTATCCACGATGTCAGTCACAGGGGGAATGATCGGCTTCATGAAGCGGATGCTAGAAGAATACAAAAGTTTAAGAGGTAGTATGAATCTGTTTCCCTTGTACATGTCAGTTCCATCTGAAACAAGGTGTAGTGGCATAAGCCTTTCCCAGGTCGGGACCTAATGTTACTCAGAACGACCTGTCATCTATAGAAATGTAAGCGAACACATAGCGATGTATGGTTGATACGATCGGCGTACTATATCTTGAAATTATGGGCCGCTATAGAATATATACACCAATACTTTCACGGATTGGAGTAACGTGCCTAAGCTCTAACATAAAATTAGTGTCTAAAATTTAAGTTAGTGTCCTAAGTAGTTAACACTTAAATGGCCCACGCCTGACTATGATCAGAGACGATCGAGATCACTAAATATATACTTTGTTTTAGATATATCTATTTTTATCCCACCGGCATGTAATGCGGTGGGATATAGTCGTCGCCTCGTCCGTCTGTCCGTCATTTTGTTTCCGGAGCGTCTGTCCGTCCGTCCGTCCGTCCAGTAATCATTTTGTTTCTTGGTTTCCATGGAAACATAACTCAAAGTGCCTTTGCGTTTGCATATATTTCATTGCTTTCGTTTCAGGAGCACAAGTCAAGAACCGCGCTCAATATATTTTCAACAAAACTCGGTAGATATATCAAACATAACCATAAGTGGTGCCTTTTGCTATTTGCAGATTTTTGGCATTTTTATTTTTCTCGGTTTCCATGGAAACGATTCGGACTTAGTCTCAAAAGTGAGGGGTGGGCTTCGTTTCCGGAGCATAACTCAAGAACCGTTCAATATTTTTCAACAAAACTTGGTAGATATATCAAACAGATCCTAAAGTGGTGCCTTTTGCTATTTGCAGATTTTTGGCATTTTTAATTTTCTGGTTTCCATGGAAACATTTTGGACTTATTCCCAAAAGGAGGGGTGGGTTTCGTTTCCGGAGCACAACTCGAAAACTTCTCAATATCTTTCAGCGAAACGTGGCAGATATGTGAGGCAGATCTTGAAGTGGTGCCTTTTGCTATTTGCAGATTTTTGTGATTTATTATTTTCTCAGTTTCCATGGAAACGATTCGGACTTAGTCTCAAAAGGGAGGGGTAGGTTTTGTTTCCGGAGCACAGCGTGAAAACTTCTTAATATCTTTCAGCAAAACTTGGCAGATATGTGAGGCAGATCCCAAAGTGTTGCCTTTTGCTATTTGCAGATTTTTGTCATTTATCTTTTTCATGATTTCCATGGAAACGATTTGCACTTAGTCTAAAATCAAGCTGGACTTTAAGTAACTATCAGATGATTTGTTCTTTCAAAGATGTGGGGGCCCGGGGGATATGTCATCTTCTGATGACTCTTGTTGTACTAGTCGGTGGTTGACAGATTCTGTATTTGGAATGACTACTACCACCCGTATCCCCCCTTTAAATTTCATTCTAGTCAAATCATATCACTTGAATATATATTCCTCATCTGATAAGGATTGAGTTTTAACATGTTTCTTTAATTGTATCTGAACTGAAAGACATATCAAACTTCTAAAAATGCCACTAAAACACATTTTTCCTCATCGTTAAAATTTAGGGGATACGGGCGGAAGTCTTACCATGATGCTTGACTAGCTATTCACCGATGTGTCCAGCCCGTTCACTGCCGAGGATCTTGTTTTTATATAACGCAGTGGATGGAAATCATGGCAGTATAAATATATGTTTTCTCACAACTAACTGTAACATTTATCGCCATTTAGAATTTCGTTATGTCGTTTCTATACACATTGTCATTCAGTAAGCCAAACTTTGTAGGGAGTTTGTGTGCTAAACATAGAAATCAGCGGCGGCACATTTTATAGCAAGCACCTCTTTATGAAAGCACTTTTATTGTAAATATATTTTGCTTTCAACATCATATTTAGGACTAAATGAATTATAAATGGGAACTAATATACATATATATTTTTTTTCATTCAGTAATTTGTATCATTACACAGGAGTGGAGTTTATATATTACATTCTAGTTTTCAAAGCGATGAGAATGCATTACACTGGGCACGTTAGCCATTTTCGTGCCACTTCGGTCAATGTATTCTATTTATTCGGAATATTTCATTGGTTTAGGGTTAGGATAAGGGACCTAATCCAATAAAGTAGGTAAATGTCTGGTGTAATGCACGTGTACCATTTCTTGTTTTTCCATTCGCATTTTTAATACTTTTTTTAAAACAAAACCTTTGAAAGTACACAATGAAATGGTTTAATGTAGATAATTTGGGTTAATGGAAATTGGGTTGGAACTTGTACTAAGACACTTTCACATGCTAGAGATGACCAAACTTGATCAACTTCTTAATTTACACAATAACGACATTTCGGTATAGATTCTTATACCGTTTTCAAGCATTTGAGGAATGATGGGTAGACCAATGCTTAGTCCCTGAATATATATAATTTTGATAGTAACAAATAAGCCCATTTAAATTGAAAAGGAGCCCCAGTGAGTTGGGAACCTGGGGGAAATCTAGACTTGCTTCATTTAGGGCTTTAGCATTGCAGGGAGGGCTAGGCATTAGGTAAAATATTTTGGTTCAGGGACTGTGAGACAATCTAAATGATGGGGTACGCCAGTTTATATACAAGATAGATGTACATATGATAATGAGATAACATTAAAGGTCACATGCAACCAAAAAATCAAACATAATTAAAACACAATTATCACTTCTTCATGACATATAATATGCATTGCTGATTATGAAAAAACATATAAACAAAATTATAAGCGTATAATCGCAAATCAAAAGTGCAATATTTTGTACTTGGGTTTACCTCCCTCGAAACGAAGCAGCCGGGATACCGAACCCAGTCAGAGCGGGTGGGTGTGCACTCAAGTGTAACGGCTGGTTCATTAGCAGATGCCGCCTTCACGGGTCATTGTGTGTGTATATATAGAAAGTTGGGTTTTGTAAATACATGCTCATTTTTTGTGTATAACATTTTGCAATCAACAGACATCATAACATGTCATGTGTTCAAGTATCACACCTGCCTGTCTGTGTAATTAGATAATGTGACAGAGACCGAACTCGGGCCATAAATCAATGCGTTTGTTTATGGTGTATAGCCTGATTGGTGTTAAGTTCAAATTGCATGTGGTCAGTGATCGACCAGTTGTGTATTGAATATTGTCATTAGCAGACAGGCAGGCAGACACACTGGTGTCAATAAAACAAGACATTGAGTTTTGTCTGTGACAGCGACATATCTATATCACAGTTAGAAATCGTGTCAACTCTAAATAATGCTTTTAAGTATCGAACTGAGAAAGTGACTTCGGTAAGAAGAACGTGTGGTGAAATAGACAAATGAAATTATATAAACAGTTTATTTACTGTCATAACATACAAAAGCTCGCGCCTGTGAGATATCATCAAAACATTAGGAAACTAGCTCACACCAAAGCCTTCACAGAGTATTCACCAGACAGCCCGCTTCCAAGTTTGTGAACCTATTTCACTCTGCGCACATGCTATGAGCGCAGCCAGCTGTTGAAACCCGTATTCCCCAGAAAAGTCTGGGGAAAATTAGTGAAACGTTTGAACTCGATTTGAAGAATTTATTTTTTTTCATCGAAAGGCGTTATTACAAAGGTGGGATAGCAAAGCATCAAAGTAAGTTGCAGGATGAGCTGAAATAAAATAAATGAGATGAGTGGGATTACCATGGCTATTAGCAGGGCTCCAGATAACTTTTGGGGGTGTGGGTGTACTTACACCTCATATTGCAAGTGGAGGTGTTCTGAAAATTTTGAAGGAGTACCGACATGTTTTTGTGTGAGCGAGTTGGTGATGTGGTTTGTTATTTATGATAATAATGATATTTATGATATTTTCAGCTGTTAAACTTTATATATGTTAGACGTACAAAGGTATTTATGTGCATATATGATATGCTTGAAATTATGTTGTACTTCATAGATTTTTAGATGTACATTACGCCTGTACGCCCCTTAACTGCAGCCCTGATATTAGTGAATGTATCTTAATTTGGAAGAAGCCAAGGAGATGGGGGATTAATTAGAGGCAACCAGTGGTGAGGAATGTCTGTTAGACAGGTTAATGTGAGAAGCCAGAGTGGTTTGAATGGATTAATTATTTGTGGATTAGGTGGTTGTAAGTTGATAGGATGAAATAGCCCTGATTAGGGTTGGGTATCGCCAAAATTTTCATATTGCGATATATTTTGATATGTGTTGGCGTATTGCAATATATTGTCAAAGTGTGACACGTGGTTTAACTCTTTCAAAACCAGTCAACCAGAGGCTTTTACTGCCATGACACCGAGTTCCCAGAGACTCTGAGGTCATAGATGAGGCCTATGTTTATCAAGGAAAATATCAGCTTGTAAAATATTATCACTGCTACATGTCATGCACCATTTGAAAGGACTATTCCTAACATATTTATAAATATGAAAATAAGTTCAGTTTTAATGAAAATGCAAGCTTACACATTTTAATGTCCAGATAAACCACGAAGGAAGCAAAAAATGTGGCGATTTTTTCCATTTGTAACATGGCATAATATCCCCTTACCTTTTTCTTCTATATTTTTTAATTTTTACGTAATCTGAAAATTATTATATGTTCTGAAAAAGGCATGTAATAGAAACATTTAAGAATATTGAGTATTTATACCAATGACATTTCAAAACTATCAATGGATAATATTTAAATACAAATCAATAAACATTCCCTAAAAGTGTACCACAATATATTGCCAATCATTATCGGGTGAAGTTCAAATTGTACCACAATATACCGGTTGCAATAACCTGTATTATCGCCCACGACTAGCCCTGATCCCTATTAATAGAGGGATTAAAACAACGTATTTATAAGTGTCTAAGTGTCTCTGCCTGCTTGCTGCTTAAGTAAGCGACTGATGTGATGTGATTTTTTATCGATGTAGGGTATTGAGATGCGAATGGGAGCGGAGTCCATTTGCCAATTTTCAACCCATGCATTACAATGATTAATAGTTCTACTTTTAACTTGACATGAGACAGAAACTGGAAATGTCAGACAACAGAAAGTCTGAAAAATATTGTACTGGCAAATGTGGAGTCAGACAGCATTCACAAAAGCATATGTTGCCTGTGTAAAAATATTAGCAAGTAAAGCATCAAGCAAGATCAATCTTACACAATATTAGTCACTGATTATTGGGCATGTATATTGATTAGATCATTCAAAACACACAAGCTGTTATAAGCCGACACACAAGGGGTAACAGATTGTGATGTCTGTCTCAACAAAATAGTCAATTTCAATTATGGGTACCTTCGTACATTAAAGCATTGGCTTGTCATGCCAAAGACCTGGGTTCGATTCCCCACAACGGTACAATGTGTGAAGCCCATTTCTGGTGTCCCCCGCCGTGATATTGCTGTAACAATACTAACATTGCTAAAATCGGCTTAAAACCTCGCTCACTCACTCACTCACTCACTCACTCACTGTTAATTCATCTCTTTAACATGTTAATTCATCTCTTTGACATAATATATTTGTTTATCATCATTGTTCCCATTAGCAAATTTCATTTTCCACTTGCGTTGGAAATAATGATTACATGCAATATTCCTATATCTAAATGGTCATGTATGGTCCATGGTTGGAAATAAGGTTGTGTAGATGGTGGTTATACAAGTTTGCTGTATACAAGTAGATATATAGTCTGTCATACAGACCCTGAAGCAAATATACAAATGAAGCCTGTGCAAGTCTAGAATATGTGGCAACTCTAGATTACAGTTTCATAAAATGAAGAAAGTCTCTGGGCCCCGTTTTATTCTTTGAATATAATTAGGAACTGTTTTTTCTGTGAAATATGTTATTTTCAGAGACTAGAGTGAGTGAGTTTTGTTGTACACTGCTTTTAGCAATACTCCAGCAATATTATGGTGGGGACAGCAGAAATGGGCTCCACACATTGTGCTCATGTGGGGAATCGAACCTGGGTCTTCGACGTGACAAGCGAACGCTTTAACCACTAGGCTACCCAACCGGCCCTTCAGAGACTAGATGTTAGTCTAGTAGATGTATACAAGTCTCGCTGTATGCCAGGTCATGGTGTATTGGTTGTCTGTGGGTAATCTGTCTCACAGTCTCGGAACCACATTCTAGGCGTGGCCTAGAATGAACACTGGTTTTGTATGAATTCACCATTGAACAACTTGGTTTTCTTAAACGGTATAAAAACATTGCAATTTATCAAAGTATCATCATCTTAAAAATTGTCCCAGATATGATGACATCAAGTTAAAACTAAACTCACTCACTCACTCTTTGTAATAGATAGAATAGAAGATGAATATCATTTTACCTTAGTATGTAACTGATATGAGAACATGAAAAATCTCTAGAATATATTGTTATAACCTGAATATGGTAATTTGGTATATGAATTTAGAATGCTCCTGTCTTTGATGTAAGACTGTTGAAAAAATGTCTATACCAAAGTAATGAAATGAAACAAAGTTTTGGCAAATACTGGAAAAAGTGTATGTAAGTTTATGCATGTTCAGATTGTGATTGTGCGTGTGCATGTGCACATACTTTCTCTATATATGGAATTAGTGGCCATTATACAAATATATTACATGAACATGGAAAACAGGTTTCTTTAGTTTATCATTGTTATATAGAATAGCATCCTGAAAAACGTACATGTTCTCATTTATTAATAGATATGGTGTGAAGTGAAATTGAGTTTAGTCATGTGTTCAAGTTTGTTGGGTGTATAAAGCAACATGTATGCACGTCCACACTCTGGGAATATACTCTGTCAACTAGACCATTGTCACGTTATATGAGATTGCTCAGTTGTGTTGAAGCCATGTTGATTTCAGTGCCAGACATTCCTGTCCAAGTTGTATTTTACTGCTCTAAGATGGAACTAATGGTACACAGAAACACGAAATGTACATTTTTAAGGGCAAGGATTGTCATGAAAGCTGTCTTTTACATGTTATCATGTTGATTTCAATATCTCTTGACACAAAAGATTAGTTGTTCAAGGTACAAATCGACTTGACCTCATTCTTGCTGTTGACAGATAAATTTTTCAGGCTTGACTTAGTTACCATGGTTACCATGCATGTATTGATAAGGTCCCTGCAACACAATAGCCGTGCTTTAGTTAATGAGAAATCACATTTAATAATATTAAACACTGTCAGATAGTGTAAGGGACACTTCTTTGAAAGACAGATCGTCAGTGTCCTAGAAAATGAACGGAACTGATACCCTGGTTACACTAGATAAACCGGACACTTCTCACGATAAGGAGATGAAGGAGCCACATTTTTAGCAGTCCCCAGACGTGTCATGGAGTGGACGTAACCATACCATTTACAACAAATATGAGTCAAACAAATAAGAATAACTTCAGGTCTCCTTTACCCCAAACCGTAGATTCTGTAACATCGTAGACGTGATAGACAGCAACCCGTGAAGATCCGTGTTAGAATTGGTCCTCAGTAGCCCATGCTTGTCTCTAGAGGCCACTTACAGGATCGGGTGGTCAGGCTCGCTGACTTGGTGGCCACGTCATCGTATCCCAGTTGTGTAGATTGATGCTCATGCTGTTGACCACCAGATTGTCTGACTGGATTATTTACCGACCCGCCGCCATATAGCTGGAATATTGCTGAGTGCAGCGTTAAACAACCAACCAACCAATTGCTAATTAGAGGGAGGCCATGTTGGCAGAAATCATGTATTGTACAAGTTACTCAGTAAGTACTGGATTCTTGGAGCTGACTGACTGACTGACTGAGTATGGTTTTACGCCGTTTTTGGCAATATTCCAGCAATATCATGGCGGGGACACCAGAAATGGGCTTCACAAATTGTACCCATGTGGGGAATCGAACCCGGGCCTTCGGCGTGACGAGCGAACGCTTTAACCACTAGGCTACTCCACCGCCCCGATTCTTGGAGCTACCTCTTTATTCAAGATAGTGATTCGCAGATGTATGACTTGTAAAAGACACCATGCTTTGTTCTAGAATAAAAGATGGCTGATCTTCCAAGAGATCGTGTTACCCCAAATGATCCTCCATTCACGTCTGTACGAGCAGAATATTTTGGTCTCTTTGAAGTGTAACGTGGTTGTGCCTTGGTCAGAAGGTTTGGAGTAATTTCCACCTGTTTGACTACACATGCAGCTCATAATGAGGTTGTGCCTCACTTGATACCAGTTTATGTGTCAATGAGACCGTCTCCATGGTGTAGTGGTTAGAGCGTCTGTCCAGATAGCGGAAGGTCGTGGGTTGGATCCCCGGCCATGCCATACCAAAAGACGGTACTTGTTGGTCCCTGTCTGGCACTCAGCTTAATGAGTACAACAAGGACTGGTTGGCTCAGAGTCGGTATAATGTGTCTGAATGGGGTCATGCTCAGTGGGCTAGCACTATAAAACCAGCTTCAGTCTGGGCTAGTACAAGCAGCCACACATACACATACATGCACATCGTCATATGAGCAAAATATTCTTAAGTAAGATGCTAAACCTGATTTCACCTCACCTCAACTCAACTCAACTCAACTCAACTCAACTCATGCGTCAATGCCTTGTAGCAAGAAGGGTCAGTTTCGGCAAATCAGATCTGATAATGGTACCAATCTGAAAGGCACAGAGAGGGAACTTCAGAGGCAATCAAGCGTTGGAATCAATCAACTTTTAAGAGAATTATGATACAGAGAACTTTGGAGTAGATATTCAGCCCCCCTCGGCCTAAAAAAACCCTGTTGTAGTTCCGATTACCTGACCGACCCTTGAATTCTGGTGCTGACCCTAATTTTTTTTAAGCAGTATAAATGAAATAAGCTTCTAGATACCATTGTCTTTTCCCGGCACCGACGGACATCAGTCATTCTGATAGAGAAAGTCGACCTGATGGCAGAAACCTTGATTGAATAAACAATTATACATACATGTGTATAAATAAATGTGTTATTAGTTTGTACTTTACTTCTAAAAAAAAATGTTAAGCGAAACAAACTACCTACCTACCCTAAATTTCAAAGAGGTGTATTCAGAACCACAACATGATTTTTATTTGGCCCTACTTGATCACACCATGGCCGAATTTTGGAGCGACAGATACGTAGTGTCCAGAAGATACTTTCTGTTCTCATGGTTCAGCCTGTAGATGATGAAGGATTACACACCGTGCTGTGTAGTGGTGTGACGATTCATCCATGGGCCGCCGATATGGTGAATCGATACAAAGTTTTACATTGTCATATATTCCGATAAGATACTTCAAATGGGCCAGGATACATTGATGTTTTACCTTGAATATTGCCGAATCGTGATATCTGTCAAGAAAGACTTACTTTTGTTTGATGATAAAAAATCTATGCATACTTATTTTCCCTTCATAAGTTTCTCGGAAATTCTTGCGTCAGGAACTGTGTCAAACATAGTGCTCGCATTTTATTAACATTCACAAATTCTGTGTAAAAATTAATTTTCTCATTTCCAAATGAACATTGAAAAACGCTGGTGGAATTTGTAAAATACTTTAAAATGGTTTTGTTTTGAGGTTAAGGTGTTTTATAGTTGGTGTTAGAATTAAAGATTTTAGTATCATGATACATATCGTATTGCCACTCTTGTATCGGGATTCGTATCCTATCGCAGCTTCAGTGCACAATACTTTGGCAATATATCGTTGTGACTAAAATTTAATATCATGATGTATCGTATAGCAGGTTGTATGCCAATACCAGCACTAGTGCTGTGTTAAGTAGAAGCCATAGTTGACAGTAGGCCAATGTCAACAGTTTCTGATGATCTACATGCTATTGTTGAAAGGCAATGGTCTATTGGTATATATTTTCTGAGAGTGATGCTTATCCATGCCATTGATGGAGGCAGATCCAATATCTAGCAGATCTCTTTTGGAAGAGGTGGTCCCGAGAGTATCTTACGTTGCTACAGGTACGACAGAAGTGGTGGAAGTTATTTCACAATAGTAATGTGGGAGATGTAGTTGTCGTTGTTGATGACGCAGTGTCTAGAAATCCATGGCTTATGGCAGTGTATGAAATATGCCAAAAACTCAGCCAGTCATCTGGGCTGGTAACTTCAAAAACTTACCAGCCCAGAAGAGATTTAACCAGTCCTTCTTAAATACTAAATATACAGTGCCTGGGGACACGTTATCTGAATATTATTTTCCACGTGTCCATCGGGCTGGCTATCTGTAAAATTAGACCGTCCGGCAGAAATCTAGCCCATCTCGGGCTGTCGGACGGGCCTTGTTTCATACACTGCTTATGGCAAGGATTGAGAAAGTGTTTCCTGATCACAAAGGGTTTGTGTGCAGTGTTGAAGTCAGAACAAAGTTAGATGTCTTAAACAGACCGAATACAAAGTTAACTGCTTGAAAGTGAATGTTGAAAATATCAGATTTCAGTTCTACATCTTAAAAATACAGAAGTGTGGAGAAGTGTACATGTATGCCTTTTGATAATTTAGTTATCCAGTAGTATTTTGGGGTCAGTGGGGTAGCCTAGTGGACAGGTGTACATGTATGCCTTTTGATAATTTAGTTATCCAGTAGTATTTTGGGGTCAGTGGGGTAGCCTAGTGGACAGGCTTTCGCTCGTCAAGCCAAAGATCCAGGTTCGATTCTCCACATGGGCACAATGTGCGAAGTCAATTCTGGTGTCCCTCCGCCATCAGTCTAAGTAAACTTAGGCTCAGTATTATTCGTTACACTGCTATACTGAGTCCAACAAAACCTTGTGGAAGGTCGCGTCAGATAACCTTTTCAATTGACCAATCAAAACACAGCTTACCAAATCCCGAAAAATGACATTCGCACATACCTTTTGAACTTTTACCTCCATAAAGTTTGTACCAAACGTTTCCGAATGCTATTTTCCGTACGATTGGTTCCTAGTGAGGCACACCACAACAGTGAGTAAACAGTCGCTGAAAATATCGTTTTGTCAGTATTCAAGCTTGTCAGCTTGCTGAAAAAATTAGCTATGATAGCCATGTCACTAAAAACCCCAAAGAGTATTTACTGCAGGGCAAATATCTGTGTTTTATGCAATTTTCATTTGTTGGGACATCAGTGTTGGCAAACAGGAAAGAGAAAATCCATTTTGTAAGTCCCGACGAACCCTAAATAGTAGCTATTGTCCGTTCGGCCATCTCGCGTTTGATTGGACGGTCATAGGTCGCTCAGAGGTTACCTGACGCAACCTTCCACAAGGTTTTGTTAGACCCAGTATAGCAGTGTAATGAATAATACTGAGTCTAAGTTTACTTAGACTGCCTCTGCCATGATATTGCTTGAATATAGCTAAAAGCGGCGTAAAAATAAACTCACTCACAGTAGTATTTTGGGTTTTATTTTACAGCTATAATGTGTGTATGATTGTCTATGGAAGCATTTTACATTCTCAGAGCCATTTGATGCAGTTATAGAGTTATCTTCAGTTTGAATGTATCAGTTTATGTGAAACGGAATAATTTTCAGATTGTTTGATGAAGAGTTTAATATTGTAATTGTTAATTTGTGATCAAATGCTAAGGTTGTAATCAAATGCTGAGGTTCGAAAGTTATATCAAGATGAAGATCATGAGATCTGATGTAAGTCACGTGACTGTAAAAGGGGAGATAACCAGGTGATAGGGGCATGGAATGTCATGCATTTTTTCAGCTGTTTTTTCAACCAACAGTAATAGTGGCCGTGGTGATGGTAGAAATATATTCATCTTATATTCAGATGTCGCATAATAACAGGTTTTGCTGTGTTGGAGCTGTAAGTGTTAAAGTTAATACTGATATTTGCAGCTTTGACAGAGGGAGCAAATTGTTTGAATTCAGATTTCAATAAAACTGCTCCTATTTTTAAAATCAGTTTTATGGTTTGTGAATATTAACAACCAGAGAAGTTTTAATAATTGATTCCACTCACACCTGTTGCACATGTTACTGGCATTCCCTTGTGTTTGATACATATCAATAATCCTTATGTTACCATAGTTACCAGGTGTGCATCACACCTGTGTCTACTGAGTTATCTATATCTGTGTGTTTCAATACAGGAGGTGAACACTTCACAGTGTTTCATTGCATTCTAGACTTGTGAAATACAGATATGGTTGTCCTAATCTTTAAGATGATTAATGAAAAGTGTTCACTTAACTCCATAAACACCATCCCAATGGTAACATCTGACATTAAGTTAAATTACTTGAATTTAATATGACATGTGGGTAAAGTAAGGCAAGGACAGTTAGCTACCAGTTTTTTTTTTTTCATGTTTTTTTAAAATACGAACATATACTTGTACACCAAGTTTCGATATGATCAGAAAGGAAATAAGTAAAATTTACAATATCAAGAGAACACATGCCATCTCTTCTTTTAACTTTACCAAATTTGTTGGATTCTGGTCTGATTGTCATCACTTGTTTGATTGATACGCACAACTGACCCTTTTTCCTACTATGTCATCTGGTCATTTGTTATGATATGCTTGTCAATGTGAGATACCGCCAAACTCTGAATACAAAAGCATGGTTTATATTTGGTTGTGATTTGATGTCATGACTTTGTACCTAATGTTGGTTAGAAATTCTCAACCTGAACTTAACCATACCCTGTAAACACATGGTTTATCTGGTGGGTAATGAACATCACTTATTATTTGCTGCTTGGGTGAATGAGACTGACTGACTGAGTTTGGTTTTACGCCGCTTTTAGCAATATTCCAGCAACATCACGGCGGGGGACACCAGAAATGGGCTTCACACATTTTACCCATGTGGGGATTCGAACCCGGGTCTTCGGCGTGACGAGACAACGCTTTAACCATTAGGCTACCCCACCGCCCCGGGTGAATGAGAGCCACTGGCAGAGATGGAACCACAGGTTTCTAAAAAAAACCAAAATGTATACATTGCTTTTTCTTGCATCTGATTCACATTGCCATCACAACATAATCATATTGCAGACTGCTGCTATCTCAACTTATTCAGATTGCAGTCTGTCATCACAACTGATCCACATTGCAGACTGTCATTACATCAGATTCACATTGCAGACTGTCATTACATCAGATTCCCATTGCAGACTGTCATTACATCAGATTCCCATTGCAGACTGTCATCACATCAGATTCCCATTGCAGACTGTCATTACATCTGATTCACATTGCAGACTGTCATTACATCTGATTCCCACTGCAGACTGTCATTACATCTGATTCCCATTGCAGACTGTCATCACAGCTGATTAACTTTGCAGACTGTCATGACATCAGATTCACATTGCAGACTGTCATCACATCTGATTCACATTGCAAACTGTCATTTCATCTGATTCCATTGCAGACTGTCATCACAGCTGATTAACATTGCAGACTGTCATTACATCTGATTCCCATTGCAGACTGTCATTACATCTGATTCACATTGCAGACTGTCATTACATCAGATTCACATTTCAGACTGTCATTACATCTGATTCACATTGCAGACTGTCATTACATCAGATTCCATTGCAGACTGTCATCACAGCTGATTAACATTGCAGACTGTCATTACATCTGATTCCCATTGCAGACTGTCATTACATCAGATTCACATTGCAGACTGTCATTACATCTGATTCACATTGCAGACTGTCATTACATCAGATTCACATTGCAGACTGTCATTACATCAGATTCACATTGCAGACTGTCATCACAGCTGCAGACTGTCATTACATCTGATTCACATTGCAGACTGTCATTACATCTGATTCACATTCATTACATCTGATTCACATTGCAGACTGTCATTACATCTGATTCACATCTGATTCACATTGCAGACTGTCATTACATCAGATTCACATTGCAGACTGTCATTACATCTGATTCACATTGCAGACTGCAGACTGTCATTACATGATTCACATTGCAGACTGTCATTACATCATGCAGACTGTCATTACATCAGATTCACATTGCAGACTGTCATTACATCAGATTCACATCTGATTCACATTGCAGACTGTCATTACATCAGATTCACATTGCAGACTGTCATCACATCTGATTAACATTGCAGACTGTCATTACATCTGATTCCCATTGCAGACTGTCATTACATCAGATTCACATTTCAGACTGTCATTACATCTGATTCACATTGCAGACTGTCATTACATCAGATTCACATTGCAGACTTTCATTACATCAGATTCACATTGCAGACTTTCATTACATCAGATTCACATTGCAGACTGTCATTACATCAGATTCCCATTGCAGACTGTCATTACATCAGATTCACATTGCAGACTGTCATTACATCAGATTCACATTGACACAATTACAAATTGTTCACATTGCAGGGAGGACAAAGGACAGCGGTGTCAGGCCCTTCTGGGATGTGGTTGTCATCACAACAGCCGATGAAGACCAAAGGAAGGCCTTCCAGTTGCAGATCGATGACAAGGCAGAACGGAGGGAGCTGCCATTGGATCTGCCAATATATGTTGTCACAGACCCACCTGGCCCCAGAATTGGTGAGCAATTAGTAATACCTACACTTTGAATACACCAGTTACTTGTGAGACATGGTCACTTGTGAGATATGGTCACAGGTGAGACATGGTCACTGGTGAGATATGGTCACAGGTGAGACTTTTTATAGTCGTCCGTCTGTCTGTCTGTCCGTCCGTCCGTAATCATTTTGTTTTCGGAGCATAACTCCAAGACCGTTTGTTATTTTTCAACAAAAATTGGTAGATATATCAAACAGAACCTAAGATGGTGCCTTTTACTATTTACAGATTTTTGTCATTTTTATTTTTCTCGGTTTCCATGGAAACGTTTTGGACTTAGTCTTAAAGGGAGGGGTGGGTTTCGTTTCCGGAGCATAACTCAGAAACCGTTCAGTATTTTTCTGCAAAACTTGGTAGATACATCAAACAGAACCTTAATTGGTGCCTTTTGCTATTTACAGATATTTGTGATTTATTATTTTCTTGGTTTCCATTGAAACAATTCGGACTTAGTCTCAAAAAGGAGGGGAGGGTTTCGTTTCCGGAGCACAACTTGAAAACTTCTCAATATCTTTCAACAGAACTTGGCAGATATGTTAGGCAGATCCCAAAGTGGTGCCTTTTGCTCTTTACAGATTTTTGGCATTTGTATTTTTCTTGGTTTCCATGGAAACGATTTGGACTTAGTCTCAAAAGGAGGGTGGGTTTCGTTTTCTGGAGCACAAAGCGAAAACTTCTTAATATCTTTCAACAAAACTTGAGAGATATGTTAGGCAGATCCCAAAGTGATGCCTTTTACTCTTTACATCTTTTTGGCATTTTTAATTTTCTTGGTTTCCATGGAAACAATTTGGACTTAGTCTCAAAAGGGAGGGGTAGGTTTCGTTTCCAGAGCACAGCTCAAAAACTTCTTAACATCTTTCAGTAAAACTTGGCAGATATGTTAGGCAGATCTTGAAGTGGTGCCTTTTGCTATTTGCAGATCTTTGTCATTTATGTTTTTCATGATTTCCATGGAAACGATTTGCACTTAGTCTAAAATCAAGCTGGACTTTAAGATGACTGTCAGATGATTTGTTCTTTCAAAGATGTGGGAGCAGGGGGGATATGTCATCTTCTGATGACTCCTGTTATATTGCTGGAATATTGCTAAAAGCGGCGTAAAACTAAACTCAGTCAGTCATACCAAAAACCTATTAAACATTAAATATTGCTATACCTTTGTCCTTTGTAGGTAATGGTGGTTCTACCCTGACTGCCCTAGAGCACCTGCATGATAAATACGGGGCGGAGATGTACCAGAAGAAGGTCCTCCTGATACATGCAGGGGGGTGGAGCCAGAGGATGCCGAGTGCAAGTGTTCTAGGGAAGGTGTTTCTGCCCTCCCCCACGGAGAACCTCTGTACCAGATGCTGGACCTCAAGTTAGCCATGTACTGGTCACTCGTGGACAAGATGAAGCCAGGTGTGCTGCTTGTCTGTGCTGATGACTTCCTGGTGTATGATCTCGGATCTGATTCTGACTGGTCGATTCCTGATACTGGATTCACTGCATTTGCTCATCCATCATCGATTGAGATGGGACGTACACATGGCGTCTATGTTATTGCAGATCAGGATGTGAACAGCAGACAGAAGCATATTTCTATTAAAGAATGTCTTGAGGTGTTGCAGAAACCGACAGATGAGAGAATGGAGAAGCAGGGAGCTGTTCTTGAAGGTCAAGGTCCTTTTGAATTTGCAGATGATCTAACTCTTGAGGGCAAGGTTGTGTATACTGACAGCAGCTTCTACTTCGGGACAGATGTCATGAAGAGCCTCCTGGACCTGAAGAAGAAGACTGGCCAAATCACATGTGAGATTGATGCTTATGGTGACTTCTTACAAGCTCTCGGTCCCAGGGCAACATCGGATTATATTGACCTGACAGGGAATATCAGCCTCATGACCGCTGACCTCAAGGACACAAGGATGAAAGTTTTCAATCATCTAAAAGGAACAGATATCCATCTTCTCGTGATGAATGCATCAAAGTTCATCCACATAGGAACAACAAAGGAGTATATATACCATTTATGCGAAGACATAGAATTCCAACAACAGCTTTCATTCTCAAAAGATGTCTTTAATGTTTGGACGGACAGTTTTAACTATAATAATCATAAAATGCCTAAAATGGAACATCAATCCTTTGGTTGTGTAATGCACTCTTCTCTTCCAAAAACATCATCAACCCCAGTCAGATCTGTGATGGAATATTGCCACTTTGATGTCCCGGTCTCAGTTGAGCCCGACACCATCATCAGTAACTGCCAGTATCTGTTGTCCGAGGTATCTCATGCTCCCAAGGTCCTCGCTGTACCCAAAGGCTGCTTCCTCCATACTGTGCCCATCTGCATCGACAACAGGACAGAGTATGTTACCATCTTCCTGAATATATTTGACAACATCAAGAAGTCATGTTCTTCAGATGATGTGACTTCTTTGTCCTTCCTTGGCAAAACAATTGAGGACTTTTGCTCATCTTCAAGCTTGACTCTGAAAGAACTAATCCCCAAAGAAACATCTGGAAGTGCAGCTCACAAACTCAGCCTGTGGAATCTGAAACTCTTTGCTGCCCAATCATCAATGACAGAATCATTTGACTTTTCCCTCACTGAAATGAAACATCTCATAAGTGGGAAGAAGATGACAGAACCCACAAGCTGCAGACGGCTCTCAATGGCTGACCTTCTCAAGGTGAAGGATGTGGCAGCCATGTTGAAATATCGGAGGAATCTCTTCCAGGCCATAACAGCTTCCAAGAACTAAATAACTTTATGGTTCTTACATGCTAATGTGTCTTTCACATTTCAATCATCTTATAGGTTTATACAAATGCTCTGGTTCTGATCAACCTACCTACTTGTTTTCAGTTAGGATATTAAGTTGAATATTTTGATGCCAAAGACCTTTCCAAATATGCACACCTCCATTTTGTGTCTAATAAATCAGAGCCATAATATTTGTGGTTGAGGGTATGTGGGATGTATGTCTACAGGGTATTTACTTAATGCATTAGTTACTGTATAAGCTTTCTTATTACCCTTTAGATAACTTAGAAGACTTTCGATTGGTTAATAGACAATGCTTATGAAATACTCTAAAGTATCACAGGTAGTATTAATCCATCTCAACCTATTCCAACATGTAGTATGGACTACTGTGACATTTTGTGACCTTTGAAATTAAAATCCAACTCACTTGGAGAATTCAGCTGTAATTATCATGAAAAGGTCCTTTTATCAGTTCTGTCACATTTTGTTTCCGGAGCATAACTCAAAACCTGTTCAATATTTTTCAACAAAACTTGTTAGATTTATCAAACAGAACCTAAAGTGGTGCCTTTTGTTTTTCACAGATTTTCGTCCTTTTTATTTTTCTTGGTTTCCATGGAAACGTGTTGGACTGAGTCTCAAAGGGAGGAAAGGTTTCGTTTTCCGGAGCACAACTCAAAAAGCATTTCAATATCTTTCAACAGAACTTAGCTGATATATGACACATACCCTAAAGTGGTTCCTTTTCCTATCTACGGATGTTTGGCATTTGATTTTTCTTGGTTTCCATTGAAACGGTTTGGACTTAGTCTCAGAAAGGATGGGTGGGCCTCGTTTCCGGAGCACAACTCGAAAACCTTTCGATATCTTTCAGCAAAACTTGGCAGATATATGAGACAGATCCCAAAGTGGTGCCTTTTGGTATTTGCAGATTTTTTGCATTTATATTTTCCATGATTTCCATGGAAACGATTTAAACTTAGACAAAAAAAAATCAAGTTGGACTTAAACTGTCAGATGATTTGTTCTTTCAAATATGTGGGGGACGGGGGATTTGTCATCTTCTAATGACTCTTGTTTATTTAGGAAGTGGAAGTAGATTAGACCTAAAGATTTATCCTATTATTTGAAAAACAAGTCCTTAAAACTTATACAGCTATTCGCCAGGTAGTTCGAGATGGTATGGCCCGTTTGAATCTGTATTCCTGAGCAAATGGCTGTGTAATGAATTTATTACCCTTTAGACGTGCTCGGTGCTTTTTAGTATTTTCTGGAACAATTATCATCCATTTTGAAAAGTGTCGCGACATTATCAATTAATATTTGAAGGGACATAACTCTTGTAGGCTTAAAAAATATGTTAAAATATGTATTATGTTGCCAAATGTGCCTCCAGTTTATCTTTTGGGCATTGCAAGAATTCATATTTGATGGATTTGGAGTTTTACATTCACCATTTGTTATTAGTTTTTACCATGGTTACTGGCATTTTACAAAGATTACTGCTGTATAAAGCAGTGATAAATTACTTAATCTATGCAGCAGCCTCATGCCATAATGATGACCCACGTGACATGATTGACAATGACCTTGGGTTTGTCCCTTGTCTTCGTGATCACATAGGGGTGATGAGGTAGCCTAGTGGTTAAAGCGTTCGCTCTGCAAGTTCGATTCTCCACATGGATACAGTGTGTGAAGCCCATTTTTGTTGTTCTCTGTTGAGATATTGCTGGAATATTGTTAAAACCGATGTAAAACTAAACTCACTCTTCTTGTAATGTTTATTTTTCACCTTTTCTGTCAATCTTTTGAATTTTACTACACAGAAAAGCGACATAAAACCAAACTCACTCACTCACTTCGTGATTGGATATGACCTTGTCGTCTTTTGATGTCACAGTGGAAAAGGAACATTATTCATGAGCAAACCAATCCAATAAAGGTGTATTATGTCTTTTCGATAATGGGCGTTATTTGGTTTGCCATTTTCTTTTTGCTGTTAGATACGAAAATATCACATAGTAATTTTATCTGTATTTAATCAGATAAAAAGTGGTGAAATCTACTCTCTTTTTTCTGGAATATCAAAATTTTGGACCATACTTAGAATTGTTTGTTTTTCAAACCAGTTAAATATTTGAGGTAAATGTTTACACCTTCAGATAAGAAAATGTTAGATTCTAGGTATCTGGGTAATTTTATAGTCAGTGTTAGACCCAGTGCTGTGTGACACTTATTCTCACACAATGTTCAATTTTCGGAACATGCATCAGAAAAATAATTCTATATCTATCAAAGAAAACCAGGTTGCACCCTGGTCCCATCAATCAATAAAAGTTGAAACTGTCACATAAATTAATAGAACATAGCTATAAAACATAATAGCAACATGTGAATGTAATCTTAAAGTTCCCACATTTTGTCAATGACCTCGAGCCTAAGAAAGTATGACAAATTACTCATAACAGAGATTAGTGATATAGAATGGTAAATATTGCTTAGAAATATTTCATATGTCCACAGAGAGATTTGATCAGGACAAATAAGGCTGAGACATAAAATATTTTCCTTGACATGCACTAATTGAGTGAAGATATAAATATTGGGTTGCATTTTTTAATAATAAGGGACTCTTCATAATTTATGGCTAGGGGGGAGTGGTGACGATTTTGATTGAGAAGCATGTACAATGTGAATGACCCCCCTAAAATTTATGTACAATGTAAGTGACCCCACCCCACCCCTGCATGTCATGTACAAAATCAGTTACCCCTCCCTCCCTTCCCTTAAATTTTTAATAATTATGTGTACAAATTTGCTGAACCACCTCTTCCCAGTACATGTATACAATATTGATGACCCACCCCACCCAGCACCCCCGCAGATGCAATACGTAGTATATTCGGTTAACATTCTTTACCAAATAAGTCGTTAATATTTACAACCCATGAAACTGATTTTGAGTAAAGGAGCAGCTTTATTGAAACTTGAATTCAAACAATACCATCCTTCTTTTGTGTAAAAAGCAGACTGAGACAATAATCGGCTTTATCGAAATAATATTCAAACCCCACACTCCATCTTCTGATTAAATTTAGGTCAAAGCGGTTGTGATGATCCTATTCAAAACTCTCTCTCTCTCTCTCTCTCTCTCTCTCTCTCTCTCTCACTCTCACACACACACTCACACACACACAGACATAAATTATCAATGGTCCCTAAGTTGCACATGTGATTGTTTTATGTAGCTATATTGAGCCATGATAACATTTACTTCACATTGAATATCTCATTTTAGCAACATTGCCATGGCTCTGTATTGTGTACTGTCTAATTGAGTTTGTTTTAAGATAAGATGGGAAAGGGTATGTGGCCTATCAAGTTCTGCAGAGTTGCGGCCCTTTGTTACCTTATCCCAGATTCATACATATTTTGATCATGAATTTGGTTTTAATTATCATTGTGTATATTTTGTATCCTTTGTGTTTTCCTCTCATATTAAGCCGACACACTCTGATGTACCTTCAGTACTAACTCACTGTATCAGAATTCCAATTAATTTATTCCAGTTCCAGTTAATTTACATATGCAAGTGGTTGTATGGAACATAGTTCTGAACAATATTCAGATTTTTTAAGTTGTATGACAATCGTTTGACGATTTCTTGGAGCTTGGAGCCATGAAGGATCCACTGGTTGTTTTAACCACACCTCTGGAGGATTTAACTGTGTGGAAGACGGGTATATGAGAGTGGTTGTATGGGAAATAGTGTTATTCATGGTGAAGACAGTTGTATGGGAAATAGTCTTATGGTGTAGCTGGGTTCATGGCTTGAAACATGTCCATTTGTCCATCATGAAACATGATAATAATTATACTATTGAGGGATTATATTCTTGTCACTATGTGTGTCTCAATACAACTTATGCAAATCAATATATTTTATATATATGGTGGTGATCATATAATTGTTCCGTTATACAGGTGATTTTATGTAATATCACAAGTGCAATATGATTGTACATAGTTCAATTGGTGTCCAAGACACCTGTGGGGGTGTGGGGGGTGTGTGTGATTGTCCAGGTGTTAGGCTCAGTGAGGTTAGTATGAGGTTAGTATCCATGCAGGACTAATGTACATTAAAACTGAGTTTGAAAATGGTATTTGTACACTTTTATTTGAAACTAGCTCTTTTTAGTGTTAAATATTAAAATGAACATCTTTTCTTCTCTGAAAACCGGAACAAGGAATGTTCATCAAGGCATTTTGATAAAATTCAAATTTATTTTACTAACTTTTGTTTGTATTGTAATGGCAGGGTCATGGTTGGTCTTGAGACCTAACTCAGTGTGTAGGGATACATTTCAGCAGTGGAACTACTACTACTACTACTACTACTACTACTACTACTACTACTACTACTTCAGTATGCAATGCTGAAGCAAACAACTGTGAACTTGTGATGATGATGATGATGATGACCACAAGGTCAATGGGTATATTACTTATGTGTTGTTTTATTTTGGGTACATTTTGTAATTTCATTGTTAAGTTGACCATGACTAGATTCCAATGAATTATAAAAGTCTATTTTGGTGAGACAAATTGTTGTTAGTATATTTTACGACCGCTTCTAACTGCCGACATTCCGGAGGATCTTTACAGTCACTCTAGAATGTTTGATTGTTGTTGAATGTTGCACTCTGCGGTATCCCAGGTTCATGACAATAAGCCGTGTCTGGACCAGACACACCACTGATTGATATTATGCAAACGAACCACGCTGCCCAGATACATCGACTCATAATGGGACAGGCTTAAAGTCGGAAAAACAAGTCGGCTGGCCTTTGTCATTCTCTTCCCACAGAGGTTACTCCTGTCATATCTTCGATATGACAGGAGTAATCTGTGGGAAGAGAATGGGCCTTTGTAGGCTATCCGTTTCTTCAAATTGTGTCGTACGACAAGCATGGTTTAGTGGGTACCAGTTCTCACCCTGATTCAGCGTGGGGTACTGTTATAACACCTCCTTCAGCTATATTTGAAATGTCTAACAAGAATGGATCGGGTGTACGGGCTCTGGTCCAAGGTACCAAGGATCATATACTGTCAGTCATACGTGGTATAACTGAAATATTGCTTTTGTCACCCACAAATTGGGAGTCGGTATTACCAGGGATACTCTACAACAGTCGTCTTATATAGTCTCCCTGCTATTACTGAGGAGAGTTGCATCAATTATATGTGCAACAATCCTTAATCGTGGTACGAATCTGAGTATGTTTCTAGGATTTGTCATTACCACCTTGTCGTAAGAGGCGACTAACAGGATCGGGTGGTCAGGCTGACTTGGTTTACACATGTCATCGTATCCCTGTTGCGTAGATCGATGCCCATGCTGATCACCGGATTGTCTGTTCAGATTCGATTATTTACAGACCGTCGCCATATAGCTGGAATATTGCTGAGTGAGGTGTTATACGACAAACAAAACGAACATTACTACACCGGGTTCGTTGGTTTGATTAAATAAAGAGAGGTATAGGTTTAAGACGTGGATCACGTGGCTTTTCTCCTTCATCAAGCTGACACATAGTATTTCCGGTCACGTGATACCAGAAGTCAGATGGTACTTTTTGTTACCCTGCCTTGTACTAGGCATTAAGGGGACAAAACAAGGCCTGGGTGCCGTTCCACTAACCGATCTTAGCCCTATGCCAATCGTAAACCCCTACAATCCCAATCTTAGCGTGACGTTACAATCGGCATACCGTTCCACTAACCAATCTTACCTAAGTCAATCGTAAAGTTAAGATTCAAAGTCTAAGTTGCTCATGACCAACTTAGGATCGCTAAAATCAATCGTAGAGAAACCAAAATGGTGGCTTTCCTATTCTATGTGAAAAAATAAGAGCGAGCATTTCACCGTGAGTGTCCCCTAAAATCCCCCTTGAAATGAATTTGTATATTTCTGTGGTGTAAACAAACACTGCACTAAAGCCTTACAAATGTCAGGCCAGTCTGACCACTGTCGTCATGGGAACACAACCGAGCGAGCCGGTGTTACACATTTGTACAACAATATTGCAACGTCATGGTTAAGAATAGGGACAGCCGTGAAGTGAATAATGTTCTAAAACAAAAAGATACAAATATGTTGATTTAACGTGCGCTTATTTGGTGGGAAATTCTAAAGGCAGGCCGCGTGTTATTCAAAACCACTGACAGATTCTACATACGTTATAGAGGATGCCTCGTCACGCCATGTTTATTCTGATTGACAAGGTTCAGGCACATATTAAAAGCTCTGACACAATTGACATTTTTAAAGTCCAGACTTACTTAAAACCTGTTCTCAGTATATTACTTATAATCTCGGCTGTAAATACTCTCGTGTAAATTATCTGTACATAGGGCTTTGAGCATGCCCCAGGATGTGGAATAGGCGTACTATAAATATGCATTTATTATTATTATTATATTATGCCTGATACCCAGCGTTCACACACACTTGCACCTGAAACCAAGGTGCTCACTACCCTAATATTTTGCTCTAGGTATTTTCTCCACGTTTACACTTGGTTGGAAAAATACCCATGAAGGCCCGGATTAGAATATTGAACTTCAATAACCCATGCTTGTCTTTAGAGGCCACTAACGGGATTGGGTGGTCAGGCTCGCTGACTTGGTTGACACATGTCATCGGTTCCCAACTGCGCAGATCGATGCTCATGCTGTTAATCACTGGATTGTCTGGTCCAGACTCGATTATTATCATATTGGCGTAGGAACATCAGAACTACTTCAAACAGGAACTATAACTCTATTCCAGTTTGATTCCAATGGTAATTAATATCACCGAAGTACTCATACATTGCATTGCTTTTTTTTGTTTCTGCTTATTTATTTTAAAGAATTAAACCTCCTTGATACAACCTAAAGAAGGAGAAAAACATATGTTCTGACATAATTATTACCAGATGTTCACCTCCATTTATATTTCTGAAAAGGGTTTAATAATCACAAATGGGATTTGTTTTATTGAATATGCAAATAAAATTTATAAAAAAACTCAACTACATTAAATCCCAAAGCAGAAACTCAAAAATGACTTTAAAATATTTCTCAAACTGAAGATACGTGTAACCTTGCTGTCATACCCCAAGTGGGATTTTAAATGAATTCGCTGAAAAATATATTAGACCAAAAAAAAGGTCAGACTAAAATATTCCCAGAGATGTGAAATATATGCCCAATGTTAAAAATTAAAGTTGATTGGTTACATACAGATATAAGATTATTGTTTTGAAACTCGTAGCGATTAATAATTGCATTTCCTAATACTGTTGGAAGCGCACGTACAATCACCACAACAAGCCCGCAATATCGCCAGAAATGCACTCAGTTGGCCCATGAGAGCTGTTACGTCAACAAACGCACGTGCGTGTATTTGAATCTCTCACCGTCAATCGCATGATTCTTATCAAAAACTTCAGATTAGGCAGCACAATTCTGTTAGCTACGTTCTTAGTACTTTCAATATGACGATATATATTTTTCATGAATTTTTAAACAATAACATAATGCCATAAACGATTTAAATAGTCGAGATTATTTTTATCAAAGCACCGCAACCATTACGCGCGTTCTGAATGGCTTGTCGTATTTTCGCACATAACAAGCATCGACACGGGGACGAGTCTTCTTGGAGGTTACGGGAAGGGGCGAGTGGTAACAAATGGAATGAATCCTGCATGAGACATACTCACTTTCACATTCTTTTTTGAACGCCCTCCCGCAAACCCACCCGAATAACAGACAACAGTACACCTATTTTTGTCACAAACTCGCATGTGCATGCACGCCGTGCTATATAATTCCAATAATCTTGAACGCGATGTAGAAGCCCGTTTCACCTTATCTGAGTCTGACAGGCAGTGAAATGGTGAAATTATTCAAAGCGCGTGGAATCAAACTCGGGTGTTTGTACTGTCACATTTACAACATTCACTATCATGTTTGGAGTGAGCTCAAACAATAAAATACTAAATCATATTATACTTCTTGCCAAAAGATTCATTTATGTTTCAAGTATTAAACAACATGCACTTTCTTTTTAGGGATTTTTATAAGTTATTAAAAGATATATGTACAACTGAAAAATATATAGCTAGGAAAAACAATAGCTTAGATCCCTTTACAAGGAAGTGGAAACATTTATCTCCAGTCTGTTTGATTTCATCTGAGACCGATGAATTGCTCACTAACGCAAAATCTAATAAATGCAACAAAACCAAATTTTTCACAGTCACATGAAATCGACAGACCAACTCTGATGATTTCTGTCATACTTTTGGACACCCGAATAAAAAAGTTGTTTAACAAACGATCATTATTTTGTTGTTATTTTTCGCTATTGTTTCCGAGGGGGCAATTGCTGGTAGAACAGCTATGTAATCAACAAGCTTGTGCAGTGAAATTTCAATTTCATACGTGCAACTCGCACACTTGGCTGTTCTACCAGTAAGCGCCCCCACCCTGTAAAAGATAGCAAAAAGTGACAACAATATTTTTTTATTCGGGTGTCCAAAATTATGAGACAAATCATCAAAGTTGGTCTGTCGATTTCATGTGACTGTGCAAAATTTGGTTTTTGTTGTGTGTTAGTGAGCAATTCATCGGTCTCAAATGAAATCAAACGGACTGTACCTTATTTTGTACTAATATTCGAAGCGCTCTTATAATATCATTTGATATTTCCAGACTCCTCCCACTACAATCACACTATTCAACCTTATTCCCTTAATTTTATATACCCTCTACAGAAACTTTAATGATATCTTATGTATCTATATATCTGTTATAACCCTACAACACCCCAATGATGCCATTCATATCAGGGATAATCTACAACATTATATAGTCTCCCTGTTCATATTGAAGTCGTGCTTGGCTTATCACCAAAATACTTCGTACCTAGAATTGGGGAATTAGCCGGGAGGGATCTCCACTCCTTAATACAAACAGAAGGATTCCAGGGTCAGACTCATTTATTAATATATGGATTCAATGTCATACAAAATCATTCAACCACAATGATATAAATGTCATTGATGCACTTGAAAAGGGTAGAATAAACATATAAACATTAGTATATAATACATCATTATCAATTAAGTTAAACTCAATACAAGGTATCTCTACCGTAACGAAGGTGTAATACAAACATTTATATAGT